AAAAAAAAGGGGCTTTATTTGTTATATTTAAAGCTGGTTATTTGTTTTTGGTGACTGTGTATATGTAACAGGTAGAAATTTGTAATCCTTATTGGTTAATTTATATGGTGATGTTTAGTTTAATATTCAATGTGCTGGGTGGGAGGGTAGTTCAATTTAATAACGGGTTTATATGGTATGATGTGATAGTAATGTTTCAAGGGATTGGAGACAGAAATTAAATTGTGATTGTTGGTGGTTTGTTTGTTTTATCCGTTTGGTATGAATTCGGATAATAGGTACTTGTTCTCATGCCTACATTTGGAGATTATCTCTGATTTTTTGTTTAGTAAGTTCTTTTGCGGTTTGTGTGATATTATTGCTACTTTTTCGTGTAGGCAAAGTAGGCATTTTTTCGTAATGTTGTAGGCAGGGGCTTTTTTCAATATTTCCCAACTTATTGTTGGTGTGATGTTTTTGTCTTTTTGCTGCCATATGTATGTAGAAAGTGTTGTGCTGTTCGAATATTTCCTGTTGTTGAATGAAAGGTTGTGATTGTTATTCCTCATTTTGAATGGGCCTTCAGTGGCACTGATGTAGTGCATAGTGTTGTTGTTTGTACTTACCTTGGCCATGTATATAGTGTTAAATGTTGGCAATTTCCTGGAGTGGACATGTTGTTCTGTTTCTGCAGTTGCATATTGGATCCTTGGTTACATTTTTTGTAGGTTGTCATTTTTTTTTTTGTGGCTTTTAATTATTTCTTATGTTTTTTTTGTACAGCTGTAGCTGATCTTTTACGTTATTTTGTTGAATATTTTGATAATTTGTTTTCTTCAGTGAAGTGTTTTTTCTATTAAGTTTAGGAATATTTTGCCTATGTTCGTTTTAACAGTTTTGTTATATGGTGGATTAAACCAGATAATGCTTCTGTTTCTGCGTTTTGGCTGTGGAGGTATATATTGTAGTTGTTGTGTGTAACCACTTGCTTTTAGTGCTTTTTTACTATTGAAAATGTGTATGTTAGATGAGTTCTCAGATAGTTTGCGGCTGATTGATTTTGGTATTTGTTTGATGATAGAAGGTGGATGGTTGGAAGATGTGTGTACGTAAGTTGGGGTGTCATTTTCTTTTTTGTATGGTTCATACGTGTTGTTGATCAGGTCAAGAGTGACGTCAAGGAAGTTTACTATTGTTGTGCCTGTATTTATCTCTATTTTGAATCCAATGTTTTTTAGGGCGTTCACTATTTTCTTCCTGAATTTGTCTACTTTGGGGCCATTGGATTCCCTTATTAAGATAAGACCGTCATCTCTGTATAATCCTGTGTCCTTTCTCTCCAGGATTCTGGCCAGGTATGATAGGATGAAGTATGCCTGCTAATTCGCATATTTTGCTCCATCGTAGCTGCCCATTGTTACGTCAAACAGGTTGTGGTTTTGTTTCTTTGCCCATGGTTCATTGTTGTGGAACAGCAGGGATTTGCGGCAATGCTTGCTTATTTTTATATCACCGTCCGTGAGTTTTACATTTAGCTGTGCCAGTTGTATGGCTTCATTTAATATGCTGTCTGTAATGGAAGGATAAAAATCCACAATGTCAAATTGGATGAAAGTGGACTTATTCTTGTTGTCTGTCGTTTTAAACCACTCTATGACGGCTTTGGTGTTCTTCCACTGGTTGAGACCTAATTTTTCTCTTAGGGTGGTGTTGATATTTTCTAGGATCTTCTTACTAATTTTTCCTATCTCGCTCTTCGCCGGGTTGATTAGTCTGAATGTGGGTTTTTCTATGAAGCTGTCTTTGTGGTCCTTTGCCGTGATGAAAGCATGATGTTCAGCTAGTTTGTTTACTCTTTCATCTATATTCAATTTGGTGGCTATGTTTTTGGCTTCTTGGTTTATGATGTTTGTGTTCATGTTTGTTTTTTTGGTATAGTTGTGTAATTTTGTTGGTTAAGAGTTGATTGTAGGCTGTAGGTTCTATAGTATATATGTTTGTGGTTTTGTCAGCCAAAATGAATACCTTGTTGGAGTTGATTATTTTTTTTCCTGTCGTCTATGATTTTTTTCAGGAAATTGTCCAAGTGTCTTTTGAATTTCAAGGTTCTAACTATATTTATCATGTCCTCTTCGAATTTTAACATTTTCTTGCATATTGGTGGACACTTTTTTGTATTAAAGTTGAATGTCTCGGTTTTTCAGTTGTTTGGTTTTTTAATCGTTGAGGGAGAAATATGCCTTCCATCTCATTCGTCTTACTCAAAAGTTGATCCAAACCTTTCAACTCCAGAAAGGAGAAAGGTGTTCTTGCTGCACAATGTGGTTAGAGCCTTCCTAAAGAGTATTGTTGCAGGAGATTTGGTTCACCATGATGAGCCAGAAAGCAAATGATCAATATGACAATGGCACCCAGAAGGAAGCTTAAGGCAACATGTTCTATAGGGTAAACCTACTGTGCAACATTTTTTTTCTTTTTCCAGAGCAGAAGAGGGCATGCATGTTAATTTATGCTATCATTTTTTTTTTTTTTTTTTAAATCCCTTTGTTGGGCTGAGAACTTTTCAGCACCAACCCCACTTCATGCAGTACTCATGTTCTGTGAGGTTAGCTCATTAACCATTACCATACAATATATACAATTTGTATATCTAAGGTTTAAATGTATTTTTCATAAAGGAAAAATCCTTTTTGAAGCTTCAGTTGAAAGCTAAAGGATTAAATTTTCTAATTCCAGGAAAAAAAAAATATTGTGGGGTATTTCAAATAGAAATTTAGACAAAACTTATTTTTTCATTTTTGAAAATTCCGCTAAAATAAATACATTTCTGAAACATTGCTTTCATAAAATTAGCAAATTTAAAGTTAAATTAATCTGTTCTAAAACATTTGTAGCATAAAATTTTCTAGACAAACATTTCTTGATCTTGGTATATTATTTTTTTGTCTCCATCAATAATTTGATGGCTGAATGTGTTTTCAGATTTAGTACAGTGCACCAAAATTGGCATAAATTTAAAATACTATAAAAATTTCTTACAATATTGAGTTACATCTATCATTATTTAATAGCTAAGATAATGATAAATAATTTCATTTATTATTAATATTATATTATTACATTTTTAATTTAATAACTGAGATAATAACAAATAAAATTATTATATTAATAATTAAAATATCTCACTCAGTTATTAATTGTTTAAATTGATAAATGAGATAATTTTATCTCAATTTAATTTTTAATTTAATAACAGAGTGAGATAAGTCCTTTATATGTCAAGGGGCTTTCCCCAAGGAGGAGACAAACATTGAAAAGTGTGACCTTTTAACCATAATGTCATTTATGAGATATACTAAAAAAAAAAAAAAAAAATAAAAAAAATAACATTTTGATGCACAAAAAAATATTTTTAATTACGGTAAAGTTTTGGTAGCATTATTTGTATTAAGCTTTTAATTTTCGCTTAGTAAATATAGTCTTCACTTAAAAACATAATAACCTACCCCATGCTCTGTTTGGAAGAATTTTAAAACATTTTTTTAAAATTAAAGAAAAAAAAAAAAAAAAAAAAATGCCAACAATTTTCATCAAAAACAAAATTTTTCTTCAGATAATAATGTCCTTAATGTATATTATTTATAAAAGGAAATAAAGGCTTATCTAATTTGATAATTAGACAATTTATTGCAGTTTTTTTTTTGGGGGGGGGTTACGATTTGGAGCAGATTTTTGAAAAGTTGGCAGTAGTTGTGAAAAAAAAAATTGATTTAATTTCTCCAAGGAATCCTGTTTATAAGTAATATAAAGCAATTTGCAAACTGTTTGAAATTGTAGAAATTTCATAAAATTAAGTTATAGTGGGGTAACATATGTTAAAAAAAATATATTTTTACAAAGGTTTTCTAAAAAATAAAAATTTCAAAAATAAATTCATTCATTTTTGAATAAGTCCTGAAAGTTTCATTAGAATCAGACAATTATCTGATTTTTACAAGAATTTCCAAATTAATGGGTTTTCCCCCCGGAAACTGCTACACTAAAATGGCCATTACTATAAGTAGTACAAAGTTAACCAAAACAATAAAAAAGGTTTTTTTACCCAAATTTAAATGGTGTTAGAAAGAAGGAAAAATTTTTTAAAAATAATTAAAAAAAACACTTTGTTCTTTCCTCTTAATAATAACATAAACATTTTAATGATGAAACTTTTGTTTTTATTAAGTTTGGGGCCTTTTATCATTATGCTATACTGATATTTTTCTTTTTTTTTTTTTTTTTTGTTTTTTTTTTTTTTATTAGTGACTTAGTGGAGGTACCTAAAGACCATAGATAGATATGTCAATCAGTCTATAGCTTATGAAAAAAAAAAGGCATTTTATCCAACAAATGTTTTTCAGCATACTTGTCTCCCTTGTCAATGCACTTAATTTAAGGTTGACTATGAATCTTGTAGATTTCAAATCAAAAGTCAATGGATAACTGTTAGGCTATGAACTTATTGATACAACCTTGTGTATGTGTGATATATGAATGAGGGGAGGGGTGCAGTACTGAAAGTGCTCAGCACAACGAAAGAACCCTTCCTCTCAAAAATTGATATTTGGAGAAGTAGGTCAAGTTGAGAGCTTTAAACAACATTCGTGTGTGTGTGTGTGTGAGTATCCTTTCTTGCTACAAATAACATATAAGCCAGTATTACCTGTCTCATGTTACCTGAAGTCGAGATAGGCATTGCCAAGTAACTCCTTGTTCTAGAGCTGTTTGTGTAGGACCCCAGCATTAAACCTACCAACTTCTGTGTGCGAAGGTAGATGAACTTGATCAACATTACAACAATTTTAAATGAAGGCAGATAAAGAAAGAAACACGAGTTTAAGAAAACAATGTTGATCAAAACAAATTTGTACATGATGACTGATTAAAATTTAATGTATTTGTTTTTTATTCATTCATTCAACTTTTTTTTCTTTTTTTTTCTTTTTTTTTCTTTTTTTTTTTTTCATTTTCATTTCATCTAGGATCTTCGACAATGCAGTACATTCCTCCATTTGCTTCTGGAGAAGGTAAGTTTTTTTTTTTTTTTTTTTTTTTTTTTTTTTTGTCCGTATTTTCTCAATACATTTTTCAGGTGATAATTAAAATAGTGTCATTATTTCATAACTTTTTTTGGACTAATCTTTCTTTTGACTGGTGCACTTTCTGACCTTCCTTAGGTGCACTGTTAATCTTCATGTTGCTTTTGGACAGATTTCTCTAATTTACAATTATCATTAATGATTATTCATAGATTTTTTGATTGGAAAAATCATAATGCTTGTCTTCCTTTGATAAGACAATAAACTACATCCAACAGCAAGGCTTCTGATCAGGAGCATGGAACCACCACTTAAATGCTGGTGTTCCCAGGTCCACACTGACCCAGGGTGGTAGCACCTGTTAGGGTCCCAGCTATAGGTAAATAGTTAACCCTCAAATTGGGGTCAAAATACTGTATGAAAGTGTAAAAATAGGCTTTTATACCAGCAATACATTTTTGTAAAAAAAATTATTACCAGTAATGAAATTTTAAAGAAAAAAAATTATTCCCAGCATTCCAGCAATAAAAAATTTTGTCAACATTAAATAACACATTGAGGTTGATATATCGTAAACCAAACCATAATGCTTGTTAGGGAGTTGATATTTTATAGGGGTTCATTATTACTGTATCAATAGTACGGTCTAGTCTGGCACAAGGCCTAACGATATGAGTGGTTATACCTTAAAAATCAGTGTTCAAAATCCTGACTTTAGCCAGGCTGAAACCCAACAACTGATACTATCGGAAAATATGCAACAAGATAGAGAGGCCTTTGTTTAGTGGCCATTCTTAGTTTGGCATGAGGCTTTATTTATAGAGTTCTCAGTGATAGTAACTTATTATACTAGTAAATTGGCCTATGGTCTTCATGTTTTTAACAGATTATTAAAACCCTTTTAAATTTTAAGCTTATTAGCTAATGAGTTTCCAGCTTATATGCTTTAAATATTTTAAATGGGTAATGAAAATAGACAAAATTGAAACAAAAATGTTTACAGTTTTGCTTTAATAGCAGTAAATAACCATTTTCTCATTCTAAATGACTAAAATGAGACTGTACTTGTTAATTTGTCCTGTGACTAAATAAATCTTATACACATTTGAAAAAGAGGGATTATTTGAAATTAAAAACTTTTTCAATATGCTTAGGTGCATGTTGAAATCCTTACAGTATTTAGTATTGTTGAAGTTATTACTAACATTTTTTGTCAAGATTTGCTAACTTTACGTTTCATTCAATTTATCAAACCAAACAATGAAATTTGAATAAGCTGATTTGTTTGGACATTATTTACATTATTCGGACTATTGTCCTCATCTTTGTTGCAATATTTATCACAACATTTCGACTATTGTACGCTCCGACCTTCTTCAGGTGGTTGGAATTTCGAACCTAACCCTTTATTTCGCTCACTGGGATAGATTGTTCTAGTTCCACGTGCCATGTGCGATGGATGTCAGTTATCTCCTGCTAATTTCCCTCTGAAAGTTCTCCACTGCCTTAACCGGGTATTGAACTCTCTGGATCTAACTAATGCCTTTATCCACTGTGCCATGTGTCCTTGAGGACATCTGGGTATGAATTTCTGGGTATTATAAACCTAATGTCTTCAACCATTTTTATCAGTGCTCATATTGCAATTTTGCTATTATCAATACATGTTTTTATCAGAGCTCATATTGCAACTTTATCATTGCTTTTCTCTGGCACTCCTTATTACTGGTTCCCATATTGTATTTATTTCTATGCTTGGTTGGCTCAGTAGATTTTTGTGGCCGAGCATATGTGCTGATTCCTTAAGTTTACGAATTTTCCAACAATGGTGTTCCTTGTCTATGATCTCAAGATGATCTCCCTTCTCTCTCCATATGTGGTCAGCCACGCCTGATTTTTCTACTTCCCCTCGTGTTACAGCTTTCTGGTGTTCTTGAAGCCTTACCTTGAGGGTGCGGCCTGTCTCTCCTTTATATTCCTTTCCGCAGCTGCACAGGATAGCATACACACAGTCTTTAGTCATGTTCTCCTCTATGGGGGGTCTCACTCAGGAGAGATATCTGCGAAGTGTCGTCAAGCTTTTGAAGGTTGTCCTGATGTCATACAGACCGCAGATCCTTTGTATTTTCTCTGATAACCCCTTCACATAAGGCAGGCAGACTGTTTTCTGAGTCTTGTTGTCCTCCTTCTCTTGTACCTGCCTATCCCAGTTTTTGGGGGCTGCTGCCATGTACCCAGGGTAGTTGTTACTTGTAGGGTACTACTTATACTGACCAATTTATCTAATGTCTCTGGGTCACCACTTATGACTTTTGCTTGGTGTTGTAAGCAACGGACGATCCCTTTCTTTGCGCTGTATGGATGGTGGGGGTTGAAATTGAGGTACTGTCCGGTGAATGTCAGTTTACGGTATACGGGTGTCTTAAACCCATGCTCTGTTCAAGATATTAGAACATCCAGGAGTGGGAGTGTGTTGTTACTCTCTTTCTCCATTGTGAACTGTATCAAAGGTCTTATTGAGTTCACATGGTCCAGTAGAACCTGAACATCTTCCTGGTGTGGCCAGAGTATGAAGGTGTTATCTATGTACCTTAACCATATAGTTGGCTTTAGAGATATAGATTCTAATGACATTTCCTCAAAGTATTCCATGTATATATTCGCCATTGCTGGTAATGATTTGTTTGGACAAATTTCAGAAAAACCCTACTTAGCGTTTTAATAATTTCTTCAATTTAATCCTATAGGACTTCATAGTAAACAATATTTTTTAAGAAAATTTTTTTTTTTTTTCATTGTTAACAGTGAAGAAAAAAAACCTTTCTTACTCTTGAGCATGCAGCATACAACTGGCTATGCATAAATATTTCTTTCTGGAGCCAAATTTCAACTTTTTGAAGCATTTGGCCTTGGGATTCTTGTGTATATATAAAAACTTAAGATATGCAAAAAACAGTATTGCATTTTTATTGTATAAGTATTTATTTTAATCATTAAATCGTTTTTAAAATACTGGGAGTATTTTGTATGTTTAATAATAAAACTTAATTTTTCCCCCAAAAAATTAATGAAAATTTATGTGCCCTAGTAAAACCAACTGTACTTTATACCCACCTTACCTCCCCAAAAGTTGGTTTCAATCAGTCACTGTATGGCTATTTTTGAGGGTGGGACTGACTACCAGAAGTTACAGAATTTTATACATGGATAGATTGGGTAGGGGTGCTTTTTAAAAAACTCATTTCCTGATGAGGTGCAGATATTTATTTGAAAACAGTGTGTGTATGTGATATATGTAATTATTATGCATCAAAACGGGTTGCATGTGGGTAACTAAATAAAAAAAAAAAAAAAAAAGTCTTTACATGTATTAAAATTAAAACTCTTAAAATATTTCAAGTTGAGCACTCTTATGTGTAAAATAAGGATTTTACACTCACACTACACTAGGGCAAAATTTTGGGGCCACTTTAAAAATTAATTAATAGGTTTCATGCTCTCTTTGGTTTAATTCCTACTAAACTATTTAACCTATTAGTCTTTGGCATCCATTTTTTTTTTAGCGAGGAGGTTTGATTAAAAATTATAAAGATCTATTTATCATCATTTGAACATTGAGGAGAAATTAAATGTTCTTAACTGAGAATTGTAACCAAAGAGAATTCATCTGCATTATCACAATTGATATGCAGTTTATTCCTTTTGTCACCTGTTGGTTGCTGTTTTGTGTGTCTGACACATTCACATTTACAAATGTTTAATAAGTGAAAATAGCTCTAATTTGACTGTCAACCATATTGTGCCACCCCACTTACTGTTGGCTCATCATTATCTCATTATGCTTTGTTGTATGATTGGGACGAAAGGCTTTAAAATGTTAAAAAAATTAAATAAATAAATAAATATTGAAAAAGAATTTCATTTGCTGAAGCAGGCCCTCTTCACTTTGTCACTTAATTTTACACACCCAATTTCTCCTCCCTCCCACTTGTGCTGTACAAAACTAAACTTCATAAATCAATAAGATTTTGAATACAGTGTAGCATCCTCTGTATTAACCTGTTGCGTCCTTAGACCTGACCTCACTTGCTGAGTCATTGGATATTTTGACTCAGTTTTACTATTTCAGAATGACCTGCATAATAAAAGAAATTATCTGCCTATATTTCTGAAATGAGGTATTATGTACACTATTTACATTATTCAGACTATTGTCCTCATCTTTGTCGCCATATTTATTACAACATTTTGGCTGTTGTACGCTCTGGCCTTCTTCAGGTGGTTGGAATGTCGAACTGAACCCTTTATTTTGCTCACTGGGGTAGACTGTCCTAGTTCCACATGCCATGTTTAATGGATATCATTTGTCAGTTATCTCCTGTTAATTGCCCTTTGAAAGTGCTCCACTGCCTTAACCGGGTATTGAACTCTCACTCTTTGGGTCCTGTCACTGGATCTAACTAACGCCTTTATCCACTGTGCCATGTGTCTGAATATCAGCAAATGGCCAGTACAAAGTTACTCATACAAACAGCATATTCTACTTTGATGTTGTATAATTTTTGATAAATCGGTCATACCAGCATGTAATTCCTAGTTTTTATACAATGATAGCAATAAAAGTATTCATATCAAATGTCACTTTATTGGCATCTCAATCCAACATTTATGCAAACACAAAAAAATGAAAATTTGCAATTATTTACAGAAGCATATAACCAAAATTTTCATTCATTACATTGACTCTATTCTTAAGAATACAACTGAATATTATTTGAAGCCACTGCCACAATTTTTCATAAGTGGTATAATTAGCTTATTCCACTTATGAATGAACAAAATTGTGGGCAGTATAATTTACTACTATGCAAAGTTGTCTTTAATTTATGCAGTTACCAAAATATAGTCAAAATTTCTCTCAGAATGGTATCTGTTAGATCTTCATAGAAACTAATTTCATTTAAATCAGCAGCCATTGGTTGGTTAAAAGTGGTTCAAATCTGGAGCTGTATTTAAACTTTACCAATTTCTCCTTTGTCAGTTTTTGTATCATTTGGGGCATTTCGATGTGGTGTAATGGTTAACAAGCTTGACTTGTATAATCAGTTACAGTTGACTTGTGAGTTCGATATTCACTAGGTTCTCCTCCACATTTTCAGCTTTGTGCCACATCTAAGGTATGCTTAGAAAACCATTTAACCAACAGTTGAGCAATGTCTCGTATGGCTGGCCAGTATAATAATACTCACACAAGCCCCAGGAGGCCATCACCCCCAGTGCATCCCAGTTTATTCCCAGCACCTGAGGTGTCCTCAAGAGAGGAAGTTTTAGGAGAGCTTGTAAATTTTTCTACAGTACTGCTGACAAGTTACATTAAACCAACACCGTGTCTATATACCTAGTTTAAGTATCAGGTGCCTGGTCAAGCCTTGTCACTATGAACAATAACTTGTTGCTATTCCCTTTATTGATTTTTGTGTCTGCTCTTATCAATTGGTATTTGTGAGATATCACCATTTCCATTTCACTTAACAAATTTCTGGATTTTCTATGAGTAAAATAAGCTAAAAACCTTACAAAATTGAGGACCATTTTTCAAGGCTCCATATAAATTTCTTTTGCAGAAATCTCAAGTACCTATTCATAATTTTGTTCTACTTCAGACTGCAAAACATAAAAGCTGACATGTTAATGGTGGAATTTTATTTATATTGGCTTGTAAAGTGGAATATCACTCATCGGCACAAAGACTGAAACGAATAAATTAAGTTTCAGCTAAGGCTGTTTGTGTCTTTAACTTAGTCAATATTGGTTACCTTGGATTTTACAAGTCAGCGGTAAAAAAAATAATTTAAACCAATGCTAAGTTAAATATTTACTATATCTTATGTCATATAAGACACTTCTCTTTTTTATTTTAACTAATGTTCACCCAATACAAGGCCCAAGAGCCACTCAAAGTAGAGGGTTACTGTGTGGACTTATATTAGTGTAAGACAGAACAAGCATTAGCAGTATAGAGCTAAAACAGATTTTAGAAGGAACCAGAAACCCAATCCTAAACAGAAAACAAGAGATAAACCTCTACTCCTATTCAAAAAACCAGGGAGGAGTGTGAACCGGACGATAGCTAAAAGAATTCACCCTATATCTTATATGCAAACTTGAGACTTCTTACAGGCTAATTTTCACCCCAGCACTCACTACTATAGGCTATAATTTTACTTCTGACAGCCTCTGCTACTTAGCCTCTCAATAATGTCAATCACACAAACAATTATTATTATTATTGGTAGTGTAAAAGAAATTGTCATTATAGAGTACGGGTGACCTTCATCAGTACCTGCTGATCTACCATATTCAAATATGTCTCGATTAACTCCTCTCATTAACCAACTGGAAACTACGAAAAGAAAGAAACATAACTGAAAAAAATAAGAGTAAATGTAAAACCTAAGTAAAACCTAAGAAGCATGACATTAAAGCCACAGAGAAACATGTCCATCATTCAAAGCAGCCAAATATGGTCTGTTTATATTGTAATTTCTTGCTTCATGTTCAGTTTGCTTTTTATATACAGTAATTTTTTTCTACTAAATTGCTTTTGTTTTTTTAGGGGGGATTGTTTTTTGGGGGGTCTTTCTTTTTTTCTTTGGAAATGTTCTGATGACCTGCTTTAAATATTACACATTTAAATACTTTCCTGAATATACTTTGTTGAAACAGGGATCTAATATTCCCATATATCTTTTATGCTATCAAATCTGATAATTCTGTCTCTATCCTAAAGAAATACCACGCCTAGAATATCTAAAAGTGTTAGAGATTCAGATTTTATTCAATCATTATTTTAAAATAAGAAGGTAAAAAAATAAATAGATCTGGTCTTGATCTTGGTCCAAAGGAAATTAGACAATTTAAGTAAACCAGTTGAAGTTGTTAATAAGAAAATGTGAAGCATTTTTTATGTTAAGGATTAAAAGCAACAAGCAGTGAAAATTTCATGGTTTCCATATTTGAATTTTTGGACAAATCATCATTTTTAATATAAGGATTGAATAAGCACCTTGCAAATTCCACAACTATCAAATACCTGTGGACATTCTCCAGCTGCATTGTGAAATATTTGAGCTTACCAACTTTAATAAAATATTAAAATTGTAAGTCTGAATGTAGGTCTTTTTTGTTTTTTTTAAGAAGTAAGAGGGTACAAATGAAAAACTTAAAAATTGAAAAGATTTTCCATTCAATTAAAATAAATATTAAATACTTCCCACTTCCCTTTTTTTTTTTTCATATATACAAGGTTTTCCTTTTTGCTGAATTAAACACATGAGAGCATTATGACCTCCTCTATCTTTCTTTCCTTATTGAAATATATAGCTTCAACACATGCCAGAATGAGGCTTGTTGGAAGTTAAAAAAAGGGGATTAGATATTTACTGTCCACAGAACATAAGATGTGTTAACTAAGAAACTGGCAGAATTATAATATATTAGGTAATAGCCTAAAGTTTAGAGTGACCAATTATTTATTTTTTAATGAGGTTGACAGCTAAAGTAATTTATGTCCTTTGTCTACATTCCTAATAAAGAGATGAGATTGCCCAAAGTTTGTTGGTGATTTGACTGGCACTGTGATTGTGAACATACAATTTGTGTAATGCAAGTCATCTCTCAACAAGAATCACTAAGTATCTGAAAGAAAAAAATATTTCTTAAAGAGCGCAACTCAGACACCAAGAATCTATATCTCTTTCAAGTTTATAAAAACACTCCTAGGAGTTTGGGTATTAAGAAGCTGAGAGTATTTTAAACAGAAGAGTTGTATCCTGTCACCCTGATGCTTGTGGGGAAAGACCTGAATTTGCTGCTTCTGTTTTCACTTTAATTTCCGTATATATTGAAAAACATATTGTCACTGTCATGCTGTGATAGTAAACATTTGCTTCTTTGAAACACATTTCTTTTTATTCCTCTGAGATACTAAACGAAATTTAAACCTGTACGTAAAGAGAGATGATTATAAAGAGGTGGTATTAAAAACGTCCCCCACCTTTGCAGATATCAACACTTCAAAGATGGAATGTAATTTAGTTCCTGTTGTGTGAAATAGCTAAAGAAACCAATCTTACATGTACATTACCTGTGCAGACAGTAGTAGCAAAAAAATCTGTTACTTTCATAATCAACCTTTACAAGATCCAATTAATTTACATATAAAAATACATATGAGGAGTGGTAGATGTCATTGGTATTGTCTTGAATGTTATACACTTTTACTCAACTTTTTTTTTTTTTTTCTTTTTAGCTTCAACACCGGCACCTGTACCAGTTGCAGATTTTGTCTCTCCACCACGGCCGAATGTTGGTGGTCAAGGTAGAACGATTCAACTACGGGCAAATTATTTTCAGATTTCTATTCCCAAAGGCTTCATTCAACATTATGAAGTGGCCATATCACCTGACAAGTGTCCAAGGAGGGTCAACAGGTCAGTTGGCTGTTCACTGCTATCCATGATTTTTGACTTGGGACAATTTTCTCCAAAGTATTGAGAGATATGTGCAAGAATATGAAAAGTTTTCATGTGTGTATGATTGTTTAAACAGTTTCTACACTCACTTTAAGAAAGAAAGCTTAAAAACAAAAACATTGCCATTCAGAAAAACTAATACATTTTTTTTTATCTTAAACAAGACCAACTACAAAAAAAAAAAAAGAAATAAAATAAAATTGACTATCAAATTAATAATGTAAATCTCTCCAACACCACAAACTATTATTACTTTTAAACATATCCCTTTTCTATTCTTGGATAATCATCTCACATTGATGATGCTTTACCAATTTGACTATTAGTGGAAACGAAATGCAGATGGAGCAGTCAGTTGCTACTGATAACATTACCCGATCATATGAGTCGAATAGACAGTGTTTAGTGTGCTGTCTCTGCAGAAAGACAGCACATGGCTGTTGTGCCAGAACAGAGCCAGTGCGAACCCTGGAACATCTGGTTATGAAGAAAATAGTTACCATCTTACCCATGAGATAGTCTAAAAGAAAGATAATATAACCTCACACCCTGGCCAATCATGGGTCAATCTGGTCAGCAGTGACCAGATATGACCCTTTCCACACACCACCTATACCAGATGATGACTTGGTCCTTATGGTCATAGGGCAACAAATTGATTGCAGGGTTGGTACTACGCTAATTCTTAGAACTGGGCTCAGTCAGGAATTCTCTTGGCAGCAAGTCACGTGGATCTCAGTAGCACTGTCAACTGCCACAGTCTCTTGTCTCTCTTTCTGCCTTGGTCTACATAAGTGCTCTGCTTATATGGAGTTCGACTTAAGACTGGAGTGGGGGCTGGCGGTGTTTGGGAATTTGTGGGTTCTCTAGGTTTCTGTATCAATTTAAACAAGTTCTTTTTTGTCTGGTTTGCAATAATAATTCTCTTATAATTTGGGAGATCCCTTCTTCCTACTGGTACTGGTTGTAGGTATTGTCCCACTTATATAACTCATTCCTTATTTACACCTCACACCATTATTTCCAAATGGGTGGGGGTAATTTCTCCTTCTCTCCTAAACTCACTGCTTCGGCTTAAACCAAGTAGGCGAAAGGGCAGTTTTAATTTTTAGTCATTAATTGCAGTTATCTTAATTTTCAACAACAAATTTTCTTAGCCTCTGGTTTTGTTTATACAATCAGATTTACCAGCTGTTTTATTTACATTTCCAAAATCGGCGAAGATATTTCTGCTGTTTAACAGGCAGGCATAAATCAGTTCCTCAATTCTGTCTTTGTCTTCAAACTTATCAAATATTATAACTCAACTGACACCTTCTTCTGCCTTGCAATCATGACATTTTTTCATAAATTCTACTTTAATCAATTTCTCCATTTTGTACTTTCACTATGCCTTCTCCCAAAAAGCTATAGTCATTCTTTTCAGGTTTGTCTCTTCTTCCTTTTAGTTTGTTATTCTGTACTTTTAACCCTTTCCATCTGTTCTAATTCATATTCTAAATTAGACCTTTCCTTTACCAGTGTCACATAGTGTCTCAATAACTCTACTGAATGATCAGCTTGAAGATGAATGGGCCCAATTTTGTTCAATACACACCCATTACTGTTACAGCTGCACTACATGTGGTGCACCTAATAACCCTGACAGTGGGCAATGACATATAAGAAAAAATATGTATAGTAAAAGATCAAGTGTCTGGAAGTCTTCCAAGTGAATGGTGGTTGAGTAATCCTGAAATGCTGAATTGAGTTTAAATAGAACATTGTTTTTGTAGTATCAAAGAGCAGGATCAAATGTGTAGAGCTCTTTGTATTTTTCAGGCAAATCCATTTAGAATTTACCACATGTACATGTAGCCATAAATTCTACTACAATGCCTTTCAACAAAATTGTAACTACTACTATTATTATCTCTAGTATGATCATTGTGTCTTTTTTTCTCTTTGTTCATCTGTCTGTCAATTCTGTCATGCTACAGTAAACAGCTATATAAAAATTGGTGAATCCTGACCCAATTCGAATGTCTGACCTATAAGTGAACCAGCAAGTTCATTACCTTAGCAACCTGCTATCTGAAAAGCATTGTAAAATTACCTTTACCGATACTAAGTTATGCAGAACACTGTTACTAAACTGATCCTAGATAGTGCACAGATTCATATGTAAATATTTCTGTTGTTGTTGTTGTGTTTTTTTTTTTTTATGAGTAAGCTTTAGAATAATAATAAGTTCAGTGGTTACAGGCTTGGTCAAGCATAAGGCTAAATGTTGTATTGTGCTAGTCTTTGGAATAGGGAGTGCCTACTTAGTTTGAAAAAATTGACTTCTTAAAAATCCTCTTTACCTGGGCTTGTACACTGACTGCAGGTACCAAATGAAAATCTGCAACTCGCTCAGCCATGAGGCTTACCACATGCACATGTAACCCTAAATTCTACTACACTGTTTGGTTTTTTAAGTTTTGTTGAAAGCCAAACATTAGTCAAAATATTTCCCTTCGTTATTTTGTGACTTATAGAGTGACTCTGTGTGTGTGTGTGTGCATGTGACTAAGTTGGCCAAGAAGTGAAACTTATACTTCCAGGTATGTTTGATAAATCAAGTTTCCATGAAGTTGTCTTTGAGATGACAAATGTAGCAATACTAAATCCAGGTGCAAATAGAGGATGGCCAGGAGAACAACAGTTGACTGATTAGCTCAACATGTTAGCCCTGATGAAGTCTTCTTGGCTGAGCAATTGCAACAATGAAATGGTGTTGGAATGATTGTGGAGAGTGATTCTAAAAGAAAAAATAAACAATTGCAAAAGTTTATGCCAAAATAGAACCAAATATACACACACACACACACACACACACACAAAGTAGGGACTGAAATGTTCTCTGCCCAACCAACCATGAAGCCCATCCAAAATAAATTGATTGGTCAGATTTTGGGTAATGACTTGGTCTGAGGACTTTTCAGCACCTCCATTGTTTCTTTTCTATTTATCTGTGGTGTTATATATATATATATATATATATATATATATATATATATATATATATATAAAAAAATATATAGAAAATAGGAAGGAACTGGTTAAGAGTTATATAACATTCTTTTTCAGTAAGTTTACCTACTCTATCGCTGATTTTTAATTTATCAGTTATTTTTTTACTAGTTTTGTTTATGCTATCAACCATATTAATGTTGTTGTTTTGTTTTTTTTTATGATATACATTGGGTCCACGAAGAATAATTTTAAAGATAGATGGAGGCAGCATAAGTGCTCCTTTAATAATATAAACAAACGAAATCAGACTTCACTATCAAAATATTTTTGGCACCTGAAGGAAACAAATAAGACACCAAAAGTTAAATGGAAAATTATTGACAAGGCTAGAATATGTAAAGCTTGGGATGACCCATGCCCTTTGTGCCTCCATGAAAAATTGCACATTATTAAACTTCTAAATAATAATAATCTATTAAATAATAGACACGAGTTAACGGTTTTTTGTAGGCATCATCAGATTTTTGGTTTGAATTATTAGATAAAAATTTTTATATAACTTGTTTAACAAATCGCCCAATCATCAGATTCATAGTAGGAATAATTAACTACAAACATGCATACAACATAACACACTTCATAATCCATAGCCTAAATTAGTAGTTTAAATACCTTACATATAAGATAACCCTTTATGAAGTCGTCAAAAAACAAACATTATGAAAGTTTTTTCTTTTTTTATATGCACAATTCCCTTTCATAATAAAATAAAATAAAATAAATAAATAAATAAATCTCCATAGACAAGCAAACTAGACGATGGCCAATACATCTTCCGTTTCATTTTTGACACCCCCACCTTTCCCCGACTTGACACCTTGAAAGTATCTCTATACCGCTACTTATTATAAACACCCTACACTCGCCTACCCAATTTAGACAATTCACCCTAGCTGTTACCATGGGGATTTTGGTTTCAATTTTAAAACAAGTAAATTTCAGATATATGTTATTCCAACAAAAATTTCGCTTGAAGATGGAACGGAGCCCATTTTACTTTCAACTCAATTTAATTTAAAGGATTATATTGAAGTTTTCGGCTCTAGTTTTGAAACATGAGACCTCTTATGTAGCGATTTGGAATCATATTTTTAAATTAAATAATTATATATGGAATTGTAATCAAGATCCAATTCATCAGACCTACAAATTCAAAAAGCTTTTTGAATTTGTAGGTCTGATGAATTGGATTGTGATTACGATTCCAATGTAATAAATTTTAACTATGGAATATTAAACTTTGAGCATTTGTTTTCTATACTTACTCTAACTTGGACATTGAGTTCTACCTGGATTCTATCCTCTTGGAAATATATATATATATATATATATATATATATATATATATATATTGACCACTAATATTTGCGGATACCTGTCTACCAGGGTGGCTAGATGATCCCTATTGCAGCTGCTTGTTCAGGTACATTTTGTTTGTTCAACACCCACAGAGCCCATCTATGGGTGTGGCTGAAGCTATGCTGAGCAGAACTTAGTTACAGTTTCTGGGCGAGAAGCACATTATCTAGAGTGATAAACAATCTGAACAAGGCCAGCATGCTCAAATCCTCAGTCACAATGACTTTTTTTACTTTGCGCTAGCATTGCAATAGATGGGCCCCCAAGGGTTCCATCAACCCAATTTCACTCACAATGTTTGGTTCAACTCATGGTATGTTTTTCAGGCACTTTCAAATGGTGCATCACCTCCTCTAATAACCTCAAGAAGCCACCTTTTAAACAAATCGACTATGGTGAGATTTGAACACGGGACGCATGATCAGAAAAACGTTTCTAACGTTCTAATATATATATATATATATATATATATATATATATATATATATATATATATATATATAAAAAATATAAAAAAAAAAAAAAGTGATGGTGTCTCCATGTGTTCAGTACTGGGTCCGACATTTAGCAATTTCTACATGTCGAACCTCGAAAATAAGATATTTACAGATTTTAAAAAACCATCAATCTACCTAAGATATGTTGATGATATTCTTATGTTAGTTAAAAATACAGATGAAATAATTCAACTTCAAAAACATTTCCAAAATAATTCTGTCCTTAAATTCACATATGAACCCAATACTAATAATAAAATCCCCTTCCTTGACATATTGATAAACACAAATAACAAATTTACTATTTCGCCATACAAAAACCTACAAGCATAAATTCATGTGCACTTAACTACAAGAGCGAATGCCCATATTACTACAAAATAGCAATTATAAAGAATCTAATACATCATGCAGAAATTCATCCACGAAACAGATTTTTTACAGTGAACTAAAGAATATAAAACAGACACTTATTAATAATAGCTTTCCAAACTATATAGTTGATGAACAAATAAGATGCTTTCTTAGAAATCTCAATACTAAGCAAATTGTACATAATACTGCTTCTACTGATCTCAAACATATTAATCTCCTATATGTAATCAAATGCATACTAATTATAAACAAGATGAAAATATTCTAAAAAATTTAGTAAATTGTAATAAATCAACTACAGATCCTAGCAAAAAAATTATATTAATCATATACTACACTAAATCTAGTATATCCAACTTAATTCTTCACAATGATTCTTCTCTCCTGGTTAGCGATTTGCAAAAAACCAACATAGTTTATAAATTCAAGTGCCCTTTAGGAGAGTATGTCTCCAAAAAATTAAATAATATTTATGTTGGTCACACCACAAACTCACTTTCACAACACTTGACACTACATTTGAATGAAAACTCTAACATTTTTAGGCATTTAAAACAACATGCCTGCCCGCACACACAATTCCGTAAAATACTTGTCGAAAACACAATTATACTTCGACATGAAAACAATAGACAAAAACTAAAAATCCTTGAAGCATTATACATCAAACAGTTGAAACCCAACCTAAACAAAATCAATTATGGCATCTCTACAAATATTCTTAAATGTCTATAATTGGTAACAGAAGCCATTGGTTTATACCAACGGCTTTCCACATTTCATACTTCTCCAATTCACTCTCGTGCGGTCATGTGTGACGTCATGAGATGCGGTGTGATTTTCACTTCTAGCGTCTTATATGCACGTGTTTATCGTTGCTTAGAAATCATCTATGTAAACATTGACAGACTGTCATCACTGTCTTGTCCATATATTGCTTAATATGTTGTCATTGACATGTTTGATAATGGCTTATGTAAGCCGAAAGCTTAGATTGTATTAAAAAAAATATGGATCAATATTGTGAATTTGTTTCTTCATTCAACGATAATGTTATTAAACTTATCAGACGTTACAAAAAAAATTTACATAAAATAGACAACACTTGTCGATATTATTTAATGAAATGTGTGTGTGTGTGTGTGTATGTATATATATATATATATATGATAGTTGGTAATTGATTCTCAAACTGTTTCCAGAGTCATCCAAAAGATATTGGAATATTGTCATAAAGCTTGCAAGCACTGTGCACCTAAAAGTCAAGCCTAATTTCCTATTAAATTTATGACTACTAAAACTTTTTCTGATTTTTTTCACTGCATTTTCATTATGCAAGTAATAGTTTTATTCTATCAGTAATCATGTGAGGGAATTTTTTTTTTTTTTTTTTTTCATAAATCCTACCTGTGATTTAAAAGTTCATCAATGTATATTGATCCTTATGATGAACATTAACATTTTATTCTTTCAAATAAAGAGCTACCATAGAATTTTTAAGGCACATTTATGATTTTTTTTTTTAATGGTAATCACTGTTTTGTGCAAAAATTATTTCTTCTTGAAATTTTCAAGATTTGATTTTCCACTAACAAAAAAAAAAAAAAGTAACTATGATTCTGTTAGTATCTGTCTATATTTCTGAGATGAGGTATTATGTACACTATTTACATTATTCAGACCCTTGTCCTCCTCTTTATTGCCATATTTATTACAATGTTTCAGCCGTTGTACACTCCGGCCTTCTTCAGTTGGTTGGAATGTGAAACTGAACCCTTTATTTTGCTCACTGGGGTAGACTGTTCTAGTTCCACATGCCATGTTCCACTGTTCTAGTTCCACGTGCCATCTTTTATTCTGTGTTCAAGAATAAGTGGCTGCCAATCAAGTACGACTTCTGTCCTATATTTGTTACATTTATATTCACATTTCCTTTACTAAATGGGACATATACTACACAACTGTCTCATAATATTGGTTACATTTTCATACACACAATTTGTGTTGGAATTTCTGGGGTTAGGAGTTAACATGATTTACACTTGCACCATGGTTCTCATTTTTGTTGTTATCACAACATTTCAGCCATTGTGCTCCCAGGTCTTCATCAGGTCCATGTTGGTCCAGATAATCTTCAGGGACAATAGCCTAGTTGATTAAAACATTGATTCATGAATTTGGTGACCTAGCAATTGTAAGTCCAATCCTTGGGCATGTTTGTGCAGACTTAAATTCAGTAGAAACAGGTTGGAGGGGGGCAGTAACAGAGCAGAACTATACACGAACAAGATGAGACATGGTCAGTTGAACAAGAACAATTTATGAGTATTGATTCACTTTGAAATTTTTTTTAAGGTTACATTGATCAACTTATGCCTAATCATGACTGGATGGCACAATAGGCAAAATATTGGGATAGCAACAACAAAGATGAGGACAATAGTCTAAGTGTAAATATTGCATTTAAATTTCCTATACTAAATGGAATGACTGTTAGATGTGTCTTTCTGAATAAAAAGAATCTTGTGGGGAGAGTTTGACTCCACTAAAGAAAAACAAAATGGCCTGATGTTCTTTGATCTGACAATGATATTCATTCTGTTTGAATTTCTGACACACAGTATTTTTGCTATTCAATGAATCTTTCAAACTAATATCTTCATTGTTGTTTTTGTTTTAATACCAAATCAGCTTCTGTACCTTTTCTTAGTTTCTCTGTTACATCAGCTACTTTTAAAAGAATTCTGATTGAAACACTTGCTTCAATTTTTTTTTTTTGTTTCCTTTATGATTTCTTATTGGTATTAAATTGGTTTTGCCTTCTAGACATTGTGTTTAATCCCAGGGTAGAATACTGAAAATGGGATACTGATTTAAAAAAAAAAGTCTTATATTTCTTAATGTTAAATAAATGGAAATAATGTCTGATACTTGTGTGTGGAAAAAAAAAAAAAAAAAAAAAATTTTTTATTCTACCATCATGTCCAAAACTTCATTTGTGAGTTTCACCAAAATTGCAATTAATGCTCAATCATTGTACATTTTAATAGACTAACAATTGAGTAAGTTATTCATCTAAATATTATCTTCTGATTATTTTTTTACTTTAAGAAAAAAAAAATTCTTGAAGATCTTAGACTGACCCAAGAATTTCAGAATGTTTATATTTTATCCTTCTCACTGTTTTTTTATTTTATTTTCTGCTTCTTGTAAACCAGAGAAATAATTGAAAGCATGGTGCAAGCATACAGTGCCAAAATATTCAGAGGAGAAAAACCTGTATTTGATGGTAGAAAAAACTTGTACAGCCGAATCCTTCTGCCTTTTGAGAGAGAACGGGTAAGTCCTTTTGTTGCTTTCTGCTTTAAAATTTATTTGTGACTAAAGCAAACCTAAAAATAATTTTCTGCAAAATGTTGCCTTAAAAAAAATTGCAATATTTATTCACTTCATTTGTTGTTTTTTTGTTTTTTTTAATTGTAGTCTTAATCATAAGTTTTAACTTATTTATTCAAATTTAAAATAAAACTCTTAACTTCACATTCCTAATGGCATTTATAAATTGTCATTCAGTATTTGGAATCAAATTATTGTATCTTAACCACGTCCTTATAGTAACCTTGAAATTTTGCCAAGTGGGTAGACTTTGGTAGCATTGTGGTAATTGGTATTAGTCAATGGAAAAGAACAGTTGCCATTATAAAGACCAATCTGTAATTCTTTAGCAAATGGAATTAACCCAAGCCCTTTATTCATGCAAACTCTTATCTTAACATTATAAAATCAGGCTACAAAAATTAATCAAAATTTCAAATGTACTTATTAAGACTTGGAGTAAGAAAAGGTCAAGAGTTATGGAATATTTTTAAAGCATAAAAGGATACAAGATACCAAAACCCTTTTGAATGTTAAATAGTTTGATTTGAATATCTATGCTTTTTTCTTGTACTTTATCCAAAAATATTCCAGATTCACGTTTTCAATTCTTATTAACTTTGTCAGATAGTTTTGCACATAAGCTTTGTTCATTCTAATGCTCTTGGGGAAAAGCATAAATCCATTGACTCTCCTCACTCTCCCTAATTATACATAGTATGTGTGTAGTTAAATTCCTTTTAACCCTGTAAAAGCAATCCATCTTTGGTATTCAACATAAGGTCTGGTAAGAGATCGTTCCTTACTGCCCAATACAACCCTTTGCATGTTAGAGAGGAAATAGGTGCTATCAGGTAACCCCAATTGACCTGTAAGATACCATGAAAGGGAATTGCTCTACATTGACACACTAATGGGTCATGGAAAATGTCTATATGTAAATTTTGATGAATATTTGTACATTTTTACTCCTGATACAAGTTTAATATCATTTGCTGAGATTTGTCACAAGCTGTCAAGAGATGGCCAACTTGGGTGGGAAGCCAAATACAGAGAGGAAATGTCAACAGTAATTAATACCGGTAAGAAATTAAGAGAAAGGGGAGAAAATCACACTTAAAATTAAGTAAAAGAATATGAGGCCTCTCCATATAGGGTGGGGGTGGATGAAATGTCAGAGTGAACTATTGTTTGCTAAACCTTAGCTTTAAAGCAATTGAAATTAAGATGCAAGAAATACTTTTCAGAAGATATTCAGCCATTTTGAATATTTCAAGAACTGGTTGTGTGACCTTGATGTGACAATTAAACAAGACCTTATTGCTTATTTGTGAACCAACACTCTCCTGTGAGGTTACTCAACCAACAGTGAAATTCCATTTAGTGAGCTGGTGAAGTTCATTTTTATAATGGCTGAAGGAGTTGTTTTCCATTTTTGCAAAACATGTGTCTCCCAATTCTGTCATAACATTTGAGTCTCTACAACTTCTGGTTTTCATAATGCTAAAATTGTCATTGAGAGAATAATTTCAGACTATGAATGAGGCTACAACAATAATGATCCCAGAAGAGGACTTTTTTCAGATCCTTTTGAAAAGAGGAAGTAATGCTGGGATAAGTACACAAAGGTCAATGGGGACTATTTTGAAAGAAACAGTGATGTTGTTGCCCCCAGTAGGCTATTTTTTGTTTAAAATATTAGATGTTGGGATACTTTTAGATGTTGGGTTTCATACATGTCTCATTTGCTGCCTGATTATCCCATGTTCCCAATGGCTGATTCCACTAGAACTTGTTTTTATTTTTAACAATACAATTATTAAAACAGTCATTTCATTGTGTGCATCAATTATATCTGAGCTAAAAACAATGTGTTAGGGTTGAAGGGAGATGAATAGGAAGGCAACTTATGCTTGCATAGATCAATAGCAACATATCAGGAAAAAAAGAGTAATAGAATTGTAAGAAGGAAAGAAGAAAGATCTGGCTGAATGTTTTTCTCTCTGTGATAGTATTTGAAAATTCCCCTATTTAAATTTGTTTTGTGTTTATAAGCAGTTTTATACTCATATAATTAATTATTTTGTTTGTTTTTATTGTTAAATGGCATACGGCCTCTTTTGCCATGAGACATTTGCACATGGCCTCTTTTGCACAAGGGATTACAGCCACATCATATGGAAACACTGGTTCTTATATGATCACCGAAGTTAAGCAACGTCGAGCCTGGTTAGTACTTAGATGGTTGAATGCTTGGGAATACTAAGTGCTGTATGCTTGGATGTGCTGCTGGTGTAATGGATAACAGCTTAGAATTGTTAATCGGAGAGCCAAGTTCCAATTCCAATTGGATTCATTACATTTGACTTAGGCATAAATACTTTTGAGAAAGCTTAGAATCCACCTCTACTCAATCCACCAGCTATGTGTTAATTAATAACTTGTATAACTAAAGCCAGTATTATCTAGAAAAAAATGTATAAAAAATATTTAGATTTTGGCATGAAATAACTCGGGTGTTGGTATACTGCTAAACAAAAACTCTTTTGCTGTGAAGCCTTTGCATACATTTGCACAAACATTATTGACATGAATGATTTGCATACTGTCTCTTGAATAAAAACTCTTTTGCTATTTACTCTCCAACTCTCTGTAATTTTTTTTTTTTTTTTTTTTTTTAAAAAATAATTTAGATTTTATGACAAATTGAATTGTTTTCTTTAAATTTAATAAGGAATTTTCTTGGTCTCGTTCTTAAGGTTGAACTTGAAGTAACGTTACCTGGAGAAGGTAAAGATAGAATCTTTAAGGTTGCTATCAAATGGGCATCTCAAGTGAATCTCTACGCCCTAGAGGAGGCTTTATCAGGACGAACACAGCAGATTCCATTTGATGCCATCCAAGCATTAGATGTGGTGATGAGGCATCAGCCTAGCATGACGTAAGTAAATTTAGATGGAATTCTTACATGATTCCTTATTTCTCTAGAAATTCTTCTCATTCTTTTTATTTCTACATTTTGATTAAAATATTCAGATTTCTCATCTCAAATTCTTGAATATACCATTATCATTATTCCATGAATTGTATCCTCATTGTTCTTTTTATTCTGACATTTTAGCAGATATATTCTTCACTCTACCCCATATATATATAGTTCGTCCATTTTTTTTTATTTTTTTTTTTTTTCTCTCTTAAAGATGTTTTTAGATATGAATACCAAAAATTCCTGTAAAAAGATTCTGCTGCATATATTTAGTAGATCAACACACGCCAATTTTCCTGTAGTTGCACAAGACACCAATGTGGTCTTCGTTGTTTTTCAAGAAAAGGCCTGGGGGCTGTTTTTGTTTAATAAAACATCAGGTAACCACTGTATCCAAATCTTTGTTGGTCTGCTTTTGTTATAGGAATCTTTTAAGGCTATCAAATTGACAGTCATATAGAAAAAGAAAGAAAAGTAACTTTTAACTGTTTGTTTTTTTTTTTTTTTTTTTTTGTTGCTATCACAAACTAATGTCCATAATTTTCAAATATGGAAGTGGAAAAAAAAAAAACATACGGAGATTGTTGCTCTATATCAGATTATCATTTTTTTTTTTTTCTTATTTCAAACATTTTGCTGCATTTACTTTGTGTTTGAAGAAAGAATCTTTGGGCGGGGAAGGATTAATATTTTTGTCCTCTCTCTCATCCTACAGAAATGTGTTAGGACATCTTTAATGAATGCCCTCTTTTTATTTTGTGTTATATATATGAACAATATTTTCATAAAACTTTTTCCACTTTTTCATACATTTTTACTATATATATATATATATATATATATATATATATATGGGAAAGGTATGAATCCATCTTTTCTCTCTCCAGCTATTGGTAAATATAAAGATAGACTGAGTCATATATCCTTGAGTGGCAACTGGTCTAAAAAAAAAAAAAAAACTACTCTAAATTCAAAACCTGATGATGGCCATTTTGGGTACCTTGTGTTACTCTATGCATCATTTCTCTGTATTTGGCTCTTCCAAAAAGTGTCATCAGTTCTGCAGAATCCTTCACCACCAGATCAAATAATTATGACCTCATACACTTTTACTCTCGTTGCAGCAATAAGACAAATTTTGCAGTATTCATGGGCTTTTCTTTAAGAGACCTTAGAATCTGTAACCCTTAATTCCTGCTTGAATAAAAAAAAACACCTGACTCTTCTTATACCCAAACTATTTCCTGCACAATGCCAAATGCAGAACCTACCAAATTCACAGAATAAAAAGACAAAAAGCCATAAATAATAATCCTAAAAAACATAACAAAATCAAAGACATAATCTTACCTACCAACTCCATAACAGCCACCATTAGAGGAAAAAAAAACCCTGAGAGTGAGCTAATCTCACAGTTCTCAAGACAATTGACATACTTTCTATAGACCTATACATACAATCTATAGACCAATGGCTCATATATGTGTGTGTGTGTGTGTATGCATGTTGTGCATATATGTATATGTAAGCAAATAAACCGGCACCCTAATGCAACCCACAATATCGGAACCCCCCCTCCCCAGACTATATAAAAAAAAAAAAAAAGACATGTGTATGTTTTGTTGAATAATTTAGACATGTTCTGTTTATTTATTTTCAATTGGATCCTTTCATATTCACTGATGAGCTTTTTGGTGGTGTTATTGAAGGATAAGAGAAAATCACTGTGTTGATACATATTTCTTTTATTCTGAGTACTTTTGACATAGCACAACATCGTCATCAGGGTATTGTTTATTTTATTGTTCATTATTTTTGAGGACAAAATTGTGTTCACCTGAGAGTTAAATTTCTTGTGAAGTGAAAAATGCTGATACTGTTTAGGGGGAGGAAACTTTTTACAAAATAAGTAGTAAAAAAAACTATTAATGCAAAACTTGGCATTTCAAACCATCTATTGTACACATTTTAAACTGTGTTCTTCACTCCACAAGTAAGAAATTTATCAACAATTTTGTCTTCAAAAATAATGAACACTACAATTCTGAAGATATGGAGGAACCCACATTGTTCCCAATTATTACATCTACATTCAAACTGACAGCTAGATACTTTAGTCAACATGACCAGAAATTTATCAATATGGAGATAAGTAAACTTTTAGCTAACAAAATTATTTAACTAATATTTTGCCATGGTGTGCCCAAGTCGCCGTTAAAGATAAAACCAAAAGGTACAAGAGATTGTGTGGATTATTTGCAAACAATATATACACTGAATCTGATGCATAGCCATTGCTGAGGAAAATAAAATAATGTGACAAAAAGTACACCATTTTCAAGGCCAATGACCAGCTTTTTCAGTTTACTAGGCTTCCTTTTGGAGTAACCTATAGGGTCCCTGTCTTTTTCAATGGACAACATCATAAAAGAAAAAAACCTTAAAGGTACTCTACCTTACCTTGATAATATTACCATTGGTGTTGAGACTGAAAGTGTGCAAGATGTCAAGATATTTCTGAAAGTTATAAAGAAAAAAAAAATAATCTTAAATGCTGCTAAAACTATTCAGAAGGTAACAACACTGAATACTTTAGGGTGATGTGTGGGAAATGGCATCATTAAACCTAACCCAGAATGAATTTAGCCATTGCAAGAAATGGAACCCCCCCCCCTCCAAGATATGAGAACACTTAATAGGGTTAGTGGATTGTTTGCGTATTATGCAAAATGGATACCTGAATTTTCAAATAATATACGTCTCCTAGTTAGTCATTCAGTTCCCACTGAATAAACAATCTCTCCACACATGTGAATCCCTAAAATATGACCTATATAAATCAACTCTGTGGCCTATTGAAGAAAACTTAAGTTTCAAGGTAGTGTGATGCTTCAAATAATGCAGTACTAAGTTAGAATGGGAGGCCTGTCACATTTATGTCAAACACTCCAAGGAAGCAAAAAAGGGTTTAATATAGCTGGAAAAAAAAGCTTTGTTGATAATGCAATTCATAAATGGAGGTATCTTTTGTCGTGATGCCACTTCAAGTTATGTATTGATGCCAGGTCAGTGTTGTTTGTGTACGATAATCAAAGGTGCACAAAAGTAAAAAAAAATGCCAAAATCAACAAATGGAGCTTGGTGAACTAAGTTTCAGTATCAACCTGGGAAGAGTAACATCACTGCGGATGCTTTTAGTCATGTCTATTATGCATCTGTAAATTCTCAAAGTTTAACTCTTAAGGAGTTACATTTGGATGGCATAATTCCTCGTGTATCAAAACTCCTACATTTTGTAAAATCAAGAAATCTCTCCTTTTCTACTGAAGATGTTAAATGAAAATATGCATGCTATGCAGAATTTGTGCTGAGTTAAAAGCTCAGTTTTATCGACCTCCTGAAAGTACGTCAATAAAAACTACTGGACTTATGGGACATATCAGTATTGATTTTAAGGGGCCTCTCCCAATGGCTACTCATAATCCATACTTGTTAATGATTGTCAATAATTTCATTTCCATGTCCAAATGCATGCTTCAATTCTTATTAACTGCTTTTGTTTAGTATGTATGGAATGCAGATTGAGGTCATTCTCTCATATCCCGAGAATTGATGGCATATTTACTGAGTAAAAGTATTGCAATGAGCTATATCACCCTCAAGGTAATAGTCAGGTAGAGCAATACAATTGGGTTAAATGGAAAATTATTCACTGGACACTTAGATCTCAGCAACTAATGAAAAAATGCATTGAATGAGTTTTGCCACAATCTCTTCATTCTATTTGATCTCTTTCTCATGTACAACTACTAACTGTACACCCCATGAGCGATTCTTCCAGTTTCAAAATGTACTTCTCATTGGAGCTCACTGCCATCTTGATTAATGTGATTTGGACTGGTACTTTTAAGACGGTTTATTCGTACTATCAAGAGTGACCCCTTAGTAGATAAAGTTGATTGCTAGCAATCCAATTTTTGGCAACATCGACCATACTGACAGAAGACAATCAATTTGACATTTGGCTCCCTGTCCCGATTATTCAGAACCCTCCCCACTTCAGCACACTTCACGAATCTCAAACAATTTCTCCACAAAAGAAAGTAGTCCAACACCTGCTCTGTCGTCACCTACTCTAGATGAATCATCGACTAAAAGTGAAAGTTTTCAAACAGAAAACCAATATCCAGGACCAACAACAGCTAATATGAACCAATCTGAGATCAGACCATCTACAAAAGCCCCCTATACAATATGGGTGTGATAATATTTAATGGAAAGTTTTTTTGTCATAAGTTTAAAGAAAATAATACAGAAAAGCGAAAAGAAAATCAAAAAATCTTAACTTTTTGTTACTATTATTACAACATAAGGGGGGGGGAACAACTCTCTAAACATAGATTTTGTTTTTTCTTTTTGTAAAAACAAAAAAAAATTCAGTTTCGTTGTTTTTTTTTTCACGTGTTTGTATTTTCATTCATATTATTTTTTATATATATGTATATATATATATATATATATATATATATATATATATATATATATAGTGTGTGTGTGTAACAAATGCACAGCTGCAATTTTCGACGGATTTGGATCAAAATTTACATGCACATGCTCCAAGTTAGCGGGAAGGCCAAGACCGACATTGCATTTCCCAACTCCCATTGATAGTGGAAATAATCGATTTTTTTCATGCTTCTACGGCAGTTTTCATGTAGTCTGCAGCCATTTTGTACTGGCCAAAGTGAGAGACTATAGCTGGCTGCTTAGTTGGTATACTAAGCTCATCTTTTCAGTATGTCCTTCACAGGTGTTTCATTGTTCTTAATAAAGGCATTCCATTGATAAAAACTTGTGTGGTTGCTGCTTGGGGTTAAATTGTTTCAATTTTTTAGATATTCAATAAATTTCCTATGGTTGTAATAAGTTACAAATAGTATGGCATTATTCACAAATCTAATAATCAATTGAGTCAACTGCAAGTGCAAACGTATGAAAAACCCCTCCTTCTTTACTGTAAAGCTGAGGTTAATACAAGGTTCTTCAGGAATTTTTACCTTTTTAACACTTCAATAATCTTTGCATCAAAGGTTGTTCGAATGCCAATTCATGATGGAATCATATGAAGAAAATATTGGCTTAATGGCAGAAGTCAATTTTGGACCCAGTTTTTTACAGATTTTGTCCACTTAACTGAAATGATCTAAATCAAATATTCATACAAGACAATTTGCATGTCATATGTAATTTACATGGCAAATTTGGAAAGCATCGGATGAAAAACCAGGGAGTTGTGGCTGAAAAATGTACTTCTTGAATAGTTTTTTCGTAGTTTTTCATTATACGTGAGAAAGCAAGCAGGACTAAAACCACACATGTTTGCAACCTGTTTGAAGAAAATCGGATAAAAAATGAGTTATTCAAAATTTTATTTTAAATAGTACAATCCCCCCCCCCTTTCTTTTTGTGTGTGTGTGTGTGTGTGTGAAGCCAATGTTGCAGGAAAACTATCAAGCACTTTTACATTAAGTATAAAGAATATCAGCTCATCCAGTAAAAATTTTGTTCAGATGTAACTTTGCTTTCTTTTTTGCAAAAAGTCATACCCACCCTTTTATCAATTTTTCTTCCAAACTCATTGGGGGTGCTGGAGATTGAAATTTGGTCTTGACCTACCTTGGTAAATTTGTAACATGTGTGTACAATTTGATCAAAATCGGTCAAGAAATGTGGACATGCACATATAGCGCACACACACACACATACACACCCTTCTTCTGTTTTATAGCTATCTATCACCATGTGTTGAGTTTGTTTCATTAATGCAATCTTCATCCTATGCTATGATTGAAGATTCAGTTCAAGCATGAAACAGGCTGTTACCATTCAGTGTTGACCTCAGTCCACTTTTATATTTACATATACTTTATCCCTGATATTGAGCACTTTTATCCATAAATACAGTATACACACACACACATTTACAGCCAGTATTTATTTGAAATTCACTAAAGTTGCTTCACTTTTTTTCTCTTTAGATACACACCTGTAGGCCGTTCTTTCTTCACTCAACCAAAAACAAAACACCATCCATTAGGAGGAGGTCGGGAAGTATGGTTTGGTTTTCATCAAAGTGTTCGACCGTCCAACTGGAAAATGATGCTAAATATAGATGGTAATATATTCACCCTCACTTGTAGAACTTTTGATTTTTGGCAGTCATCTTTTTATATACATATCCAGAATAGTTTAATGATAATGGTTCATTTGGAATTTCAAGTAACACCTAAATTCTTTGCTTTTAACTTCATAGGGTTAGAAATGTTGCTAACAATTGGATAGTCAAAGTATTAACTTGAAAATGTTAATATTTTTTGTTATATTTTTATATTGAAACTGTCTGTAAATTTGCTATTTTATATCAACAAAACTGTTTTTTAAAAGAAAGAATATTTAATGTTGATATGTTTCAGTCTCTGCCACTGCCTTCTACAAAGCCCAGCCTGTCACAGAGTTTATGTGTGATGTTTTGGAATTGCGAGATCTCCAAGATCAAAAACGGCCACTCACAGACTCTCAGCGAGTAAAGTTCACAAAAGAAATTAAAGGTTAGTTGCATAAATGGAGGAATTTTGGTTTCAAAGACGATTATTTCATGACTTTTCTTTTTTCTAAACTTGAAGTCAATTAAGAAAGTTTATTTATTTTGCCCTATAATGTCTAGTGAAAAGAATGAGGACTTAGACAAACCTTTTGCCCATAATTAACTGGCAGTAGCACACAAAATGCTCCTACACTCATTATTAACCTTGACAAAAATTTGTTAATGTAAATCTGCTCATTTCTTAGATTATAAAATAAAGATAGATATTACTGTTTTTTTTTTTTTTTTTTTTTAATTATGTAAAACTGAAAGCCCTAAAAAACACCTACAGATTTTACATGCTTCCCGTTTAGCAGTGCTTGAATGCACCCACAATCGGGTAGCACTTATACACGGCATTAACATCAATAATAGGATCAACTAGAAGCCCCAGAAATCTACAATTTTTATAAAGTTGTAGATTTCCAAAATCCTATCTTTTTACCAGTAATCCTCAAGGAAGCTAAATTTGGTGACAAGAGAAATGAATTTCTCTTCATATAAAATCAATTTGTAGTACATTATTTTCAACCATTTTTATAGATATATAAATTGCGCTAATAACAGATATTCAGAGTTGTCAACATTTCAGCCACAACCCCCAGGAATTTAACAACTGAAATTTCTTAAAGGTTAATAAAATTAATATTTTGTTAATTTCCCTAAAATATTAAAGCAACTCTGTATCACTTTATCTGTGGCTTGACTTGTGATTAAAACAATATTCTGATCAAAAGAACTTTGTTAAATATTTTAACAAATATCATGTTTTTTCTCTATTTCTAACTTGAAATTTTTTTTTTTTTTTTTTTTTTTTTTTTTTTTTTTTTTTTAATATAAAAGGTTTAAAAGTTGAAATCACACATTGTGGACAAATGAAACGCAAATACAGAGTTTGTAATGTCACAAGACGACCTGCTCAAACCCAGTCGTAAGTTTTAGGGATTTTATTTATTTGTCGTCTTTTTCCACTGCTGTTTTCATCTTGTGTAAATGTTAGGATGGCATAGTGATAAATGAACAAACCTCCCCAACTGATGCGGGTGTGCAGCAAACGTAATCAGCTGTTAGCTGTTCTTTGTGACTGCTTTTTCATTGACGTAGCTTCATCTGTGTTCCATATAAACACCAATGTTTTTCTGCCCTAGGGAGTGATGCTATTTGATGGATTTTGTTGGTTCTGTTGTTCAAGCAGTTTATCAGTCTCTGAGGAAACTCCTGATACATCAACTGGCAATGAGGTAACTCCAATGACAGCCATGATTGAACAGCTACTCACTCTCTCAAAGCTGATTGAAATGATAATGATGCAAAGCATAAACTTACAAGCTGCGAGCTCTAATCCAATCACCACAGAATCAACGGGGAGTTGAATCAATCAGTTCTGGTTTGATCCCTTAAATGGTTTCACATTCGACCATTTGTTCAAAATGTATGAGGATTTGTTCACTTTTGAACAGGGCAGTTGTGACAATGCCCAGAAGGTGCATAGGCTGTTATGGAAGTTTGGTACACCGAGCATTATGTACACAGGAATTTCATTCTGTCCCTAAAATCCAAGAGATTTCAGTTTCACCAAAAAATCCAGTAGCTGAATCTGAACAGGCAGTGGAATGACAGGATTAACTGGCAGTGTCATGTGCTTCTTCTTGCAAATGGAATTTCAGGTATTGATCCATCAGCTGTAGGCATTCAATCCAATTCATTCCCAGTAGGTCCAGCTTAGAAACAGTCTGAATTGTACAGTTGTCCATTGTGATTATACAATCAATCTGACCAGTGGTAGTTTGTTCAACCAAACAACCGAGATATGATTTTCGTATCCACTATGACCTTTGGTCAATTTATCACTGCAATCATTATAAAATCAATCATCCATCAAGGTGCTGTCGGATGTTATTTGGACACTACTGGTCACAGTAAGAGAGATGGACACAACAGGAACAAAACCTCCAGTGGGTCATCTCCTATTTGTGGGTAACTTGGCCAGAAACTAACCAAGGAGTGTTGAGGCACTTTTTCTTTCTATAATTAATGCATGTCTCATGACATGGTTATCCTTTCATGTTTCTGGAACTAAATGTCCATCAACAATTCCATATTCCTGATGTCAGCTGTACAAAGTCTACTACATGGAGTTGTACCTACTGGCCTTCCATAGAAAAGTACTGCAGAAGTTTTACAATCTCTATGCTTTTAAACAGCTAAATGTACCATCCCAGCCATGGGACTGAATTCATATAGACTTCACAAGGTCAATTGAAAGAATCACATGCCTAGTAGTAGTTGAATGAAAAAAAAAAAATGACCAAAGATCCATGCAATGAGGCAACAGACAGCAGTCACAACTGTTCTTAAACTGACCAAGCTGTGCAGTTGTTTCAGAATACCAATGACCATTGTCACAGATAAGGGATCACAATTCATAGAATCTGTCTTTGTGAACTGGTGCAAACATATCTCTTCAACTTATCATCTGCAATCAAATAGTCAGTTTTGTTGATACATTTATGAACTCGTTGATTTGAAGGGAGGGAGAATATCCAAGCCATACAATGCGCTTAATGCAAATGTTCCAGATAGACAATTTCAATGAGAATGTATGTTTGGTCAAAAGACTACCTTAGACTGCCTGTTAACCAATTACCAGGCTAATTGTCATCAGAATATTGTGATAAAACAGACATGGGAAATCGGCTTGAAGATGCAGTCCTTGCGAGATATTATCAGGGCCCTGAAACTTGGACACTAAATTTGGCAAGGTACAAATGTGACTCAATAACGTGTGACATTTGTGTTGGATCACAGATTTAGTAATGATATATCAATCCACTGTGAAAGTGGATTGATGAAAGATATGCACAAATCACATATGCCCCCTTGATACCCTACTCAAGACATTTAAAATGCAACCACAAGGACTGAGAACGCCCAAAACAAATGATACATCAAGATTTGTTTTGCAAATGAAAAGATTGTCGATGTGAATACAAAACCAAATCTTGCGACAGTATCAATCCATAGAAAACCCTTGTCTAATTCTTTAGACAGGTGTTAGGATGTCATAGTTATTAACGGACAAACATTAAGGTCTGTAATTGTCCCGTGTGAAAGGCTCATCCATGCTGCTCCATATGATATATATTTTTTTTTTTTCTCTCTCTCTGTGGATTTCTATTGTTTGATTTTTTTTTTTTTTTTTTTGCCAGTCTCTGAGATAACTTACAATATGTCAATAATAAATCGCAACTTATCAAATACTGATTATTGGCTTAGAAGTAAAACTCCATTTTTTTCTTTTTTTTTTTCTTTTTTTTCTTTTTTTTTTTTTTTTTTTTTTTTTTTTTTTTTTTTTTTTTTTCTTTTTTTTCTTTTTTTTTTTTTTTTTCAAGTATACTTGATTAACATTTTCTTAATTTGGACAATATTTTTGTTTGTCTTAGGTTTTAAATATTATTAGAGCATTATCAGTCATTATTAATTTGTGATGAGTAATTAATCTTAATTTCAGTTGCTTTTACTCACATTTGCTCAATGTTATTCTATGTTTGTCACTAAACAATGTGAATGAGAAAAAAAGAAGCAAAAAGTTTTTTATTTTCCATGCAGAAAAGAATAATAGTTAAGAATGCTCGATTTAACAATTCAAGATGATCTTATGAGAAAATTATCTGCTGTATGTAAACATTTGTGGAAAATAAAAAATAAGTCTCTATGGTTGGATTTGTTCTTCTGCACTTGTAGAGTTGCCGTCATTGTAAGATAGACTTTTTGTGGTCAAAGTGTCAATGGGGTGCATATTTCATCTCAAGTTTATTTATTTCCAACCTGTAATGTTTCCTATAAGCCTTAGAATGATAATCTGAGCACATTGTGTTAAGAAGCAATTGAAATTAAGATGACAGAAATATGATGGTCCAAAATCACTAATGGTATTTCATGGTTTTGTCTTCAGTTTCCCTCTTCAATTAGAAAGTGGTCAAACAGTTGAGTGTACAGTTGCCAGATATTTTTATGAAAGATATAAAATCAGATTAATGTAAGTATGCTGAGATTTTATAAACTTCTTTTTACAGACTTCCATTTTTCTTTTTCTTCATTAATCTCTTTTTCTTCATTAATCCATGCTTTTTAAATTACAAGCAACTCATTCCACTGACACAGAGTGGAGCGATTATATTGAATTTCAATCGCTACATCTGCTGCTAAGAAATATACAATACTAGACAGATTTTCTCACCAAAATCTGTTTTGTATATTTGAGTCTACCATTCATGCAATCATTGAATATTGCCATCACCTCTGGTCTGGTGCTTCTGCTATGTATTTAGAGATTCTTGATGAAATACAAAGAAAATGTTATCGGTCCTTACCTAGCATTTAGGATTTGGTCACTTTTTCATGGTAATTGTTTTAGGGAGCTTTCTTTTTTGATACTTTTGTTGGGTGACGTGCAGGATTGTTAATTATTTAAGAAAGAATCAGAAGGAAATTTTAGTGGCTGCGTGTCTCACTGCATCCCCAAACATATAAATAAACGAACTTACAAATGCAATTTAGAAAACAATGCAACATTTATACAATTTATCAGTATACAGATTGGGTAATCAGTGTGTGTCGTGTGGACAAAATTGTGTGTGTAATTGTTAGATTTGTGAATGTCTCTTTGTTGATATTGTTCGTTGGTTCGCTGTTTTTTGTTTGTCGAATATCGTAATTATGAATAATAAGAGTATTTTGGAAAGAGTTTTTTTAGAGTGGTCTACCCTTAAACGTATTTGATGTTTACTTATTTTTTGTAGTGAATTTAATTCACTGTACATAAGCAAAGTTGAGAAAATTGTTCACAGAGTTGATTGTTGAATGATCGAATGTGAGTCAGTTAGATGTCTTCGTGCGCGGCAAAATTGTGGTTTGTAACAGCGTGGAGTATATTGGAAATTACTCTGCGAATTCGTGAGACTGACTGGCGTGGAGTTGGTAATTGTCTTTAACGTCTGGTCAGCAATGACTAAGACGGGAGTCAGTGAATGTTACATCTTGAAACTTGGTAATTACTGCTGTTATTCTCTCTGAAGGTTCAAACGTTATCTCCTTATATAATCACCGGGTGGCTCACGGCATATGAGCGGGAAAACAGCTTAGTCGTCGTGCAGGCAGTTTGATTGGTCAGTTCTGACCAATCAGCAAGCCAGATTGGAGGTGATTGACCAATGAATACTCGTTATATTGTCTGAAGGTAGAATTTGGCTTACTAGATAGGAAGAGTGCATTTCCTACAAAGAGGTAAGGCTGTTTGTGTTGTGGAAGAGTCTACACTTTGATACTTTGAATTTACAAATTTAAGTGCAGTACTGAATTGGCAGCTAGGTCCCACAATTTTACTGCTGAAATTACAAAGCGTAAGTTCTATGCTAACAGTTTGGCCCCTTTTAAGAAAATTTTCTGAAATCTGCCAAAAAACTGAGATTCTGATTTATATAATTTCTAGTTGAAATATACCAGAATATTTTGCTTACTGGAAATAGTAAATTTAATCATTTAGCTTTCAATTAAAACTAAAAAGAAAGCTTCAAGAATGATTTTACATTTTTAAAAATTCATTTTATACCTTAATGGAGGTACCTAATTGTTACCTTAATTTAAAACCAAAAAAAAAAAAACAGAAAAATGTTCCTAGTTCAAGTTCTTCTCTGTGGTATTGTCTAACATGAATGACATTTTATTTCCAGTGAAACTGCAGATTTTTGAGTCTGTTTCAAAAGACATTGCACCATTTCTGATAAAATATCAGATCGATAAACCATCCTTCCTTTTCTTGCAGATGATCTTTTTAGCATGATCTTGAAACTATAAAAGTTTGTAAAGGAAGATCACAACTAAAAAGATAATTACATTTTCCAAACTGAATGAATTTTTAAGAATTTTATCAAACCCAAACATGCAAAAAAATGCTGAAAAGATTGTGTGAATTTCTGGCAGATAGGGCTAAACAAAATTTATCCAAGAAAGGAAATGATCTGTTTGTCTTTGTTGGAATTCTGCATGCAATGTTCATCACCATCATGTGTTTTTTGAAATGGATGACCATGCATTTTATGTGTGTGTATGTGTATCAATTTCACTCCTTAAAACTTCTTAACATAGTCCTGGAAAAGTCCCAGCATTTTTTTTTTTTATATCGATCTGTGGGGACCCTATTTAAATAAAAAGCTGGGACTGTATTGAGACTGATACACTAAGAACAAGCCTTCTATCCAACATTTTAACTTTTATTAAACAATGTCGTTATTGTGCTTCTATTTTATTATAAATTATTGTTAATTTCTTATTGTGCCTAATTTACAAATTAAACTTCATATTTCAATGGAAAAAAATATTATGTAGAGTTCAGAACTATCCATAGTTACAATCGTCCACTGAGAATCTTGGAACCTGTCTTCTACAAATAAATGGAGACTATATTTGACCTATTCATACCAACTGCCTCAAGTATTGGTCACAGATAGAAATCTCTAATACGTTTTTATTCTTATAATTTATACCGGATTTTATGGTGGTCTTTAATGGGTTAAAAGTGTAAGTAATTTTTCTTACATTATTCTGAAGAAGGCCGGAGCGTATAACAGCCGAAACATTGTAATAAATATGGCAACAAAGATGAGGACAATAGCCCAATTAATGTAAATAATGTACGTAATACCTCATCTCGGAAATATAGACAGATACATAATTTTTCTTGTTTCTGTATTATGAATCTGTCAATGCCTTTTGTATTTTATTCCTGGATTGTAAAAACATCTGGAATAGAAACCAATTAAAGATTAATCTATTTTGTTTTAAAGAATTTCTATTTAATACTCAGATTTCTAAACTTTGTTGTGTTAAGGGGTTCTTGGTCAAGAGAATGAAAGTAAATTGTCTAGATTAAGTTTATAATTGATTTACTCTTAATCTTTTCCAGGTACCCTTATTTACCTTGCCTTCAAGTTGGACAAGAACAGAAACACACCTACCTCCCATTAGAAGTCAGTAGATATTATATATATATATTTTTTTTTTTTTTTTTTTTTTTTTTTTTTTTTTCTGCCTAAATTATAATTTTCCTTATTATAAAACAAGTTACTTTTAAGCTTATTGTAACCAGGATTGGAAATTAAACTATTCAATAAGAACCACTTCTGCACTATGATCATTACATTATTTGGTAAAATAAAAGAAAATTGTGTTTGGTGAGGCTCTTGGCTTTTTGATGTGTCACAAACCATTTTTGAAACTTTTTACTGGAAACCAACTGAGCTCATGATCCTATCAACTTCAAAATAAATACACTGATTGTATCTTCTGCAGAGATGTAAGGTTCCGCCTCTCTCTGAATGGGTCTTAAAACATTTTGCTTTTCTTGGCAGAATTTCTATTATCACAGTGTGGGATATCTACTATCAAAAGTGATAGAAAGAAAAAGAAACTAAATGAAATTGGCCAGATTAACTCTTTGAGCCCTGATTACCGCTTTAACATATTGCTCAGCTACCAGTTCAATGGTGGGTAAACACTTGTAACTGTTTTTATATCTACTATGAAACCTTATTTGCAAATAAGGCAGAAGGGTTGAAATCGTTCAGGAATATAGGGCTCAAAGGTTTAAAAAAAAAAAAAAAAATTCAATTTAAAATTCCCAGCATCCCTTGTTTGTGCACCTCTGTAGTCACACCAATGTAACAAATTTAGTCTGAAGTCCTAAAGGACAAAACACAGCACAAGAAAACTTTTCCCACTTTGTCATACATTTTCCTCCCAATATCTTCATTTTGGATGAATTTTCTCCTTGTCATCCATTTTTTACATACAAACACTTGCTTATTATTATCATCATCATCATAAAATTTTCAATTAATCCATTCTTCAGATGTAAAGGTACCATCCATGGAAAAATGTGTCGGTTCATACCTTGGAGGAAGTTTTATTCTTACCTTGTCAGCCAACAAAGAGATGAAGTAATTAAAAAAAAAAAAAAAAAAAAATAATAAACTAAAAATCACTGAATGCTAATAAGATCTTTAAAATATTTCTTTCTTCGATAACCAAATTTGAATTTCGCTTGGCTCTCATCTCTCTTGCCAGAAATTAAGATCGTTTTCTTCTTTGTCAATTGATGCAAATTTTTTTTTCTAACCAAATATTCCCTTTTTGAATAGGTGTGCAACATTGTAGGAGGACAACGTTGCATCAAGAAATTAACAGATATGCAAACGTCGACAATGATCAAGGTAAGGCCTTCTAAGTCATTTTACAAAGCAGCAAGATATCTTTAACTCCATGACTTATGTCGGTTTTATTAATGTTACTAGTGTCATCCGTCATATGATTGGTAATTTAATATTGAGAATATACTTTTATTATTGTGGGCTATATCAGGTTTTGTCACTAGGTCATCCGTACATCTGTCAAATTTAAAAAGGCTTTCATCACAAATGGTTTAAGAAAGTTGACTCAATACCCAATTGAACTTTGAATTGAGTTGACAGGTAACAGGCACTGATTTTGAACAAATGGGTCATTCCACCTCAAATCAACCAAGAAAAATTTGGGAAGATTCACAGGTGTCCCTTGATTGAATTAATTGATAAATCACAAATATTAGATCTGTATATTTAAGTTTTAAAATCGGATCATATTGAAATTTCACTGCATTTTTTTGCATATTGCAAATGTTTTTTTAATAAGCTTCTGACATTCATGACTCCAACGATATTGACTGTGGCTTTTGGTTGATTTCAAATGGAATGACCCAAATGTATCTTTTCCTATTTTAAAAAAAAAAAATAACATTTTTTTTTCCAAACCCAATAAAATATGCATTAAATGAATAGTACCATAATTCCCTATGTATAATATGCATTTTTTATAAAAAATAATAAGCAAAATTAGGGGTTCATATTATGTCCAGCTATAAAAATATCTTTAAAAAAATTGCCATTTCATAGGTCGATTTCAGTTGTGAAAAGACTACTCACCACAAACATGACAATTTGACACTAACCATTGGCGATTGTGAACCCATAAGGATGTCAAATACAATCATATGTACCTAACAATACTTACAAATGTGAAATAAAGTAAGAATTATCATAAAACTAAATTAGAATAATATTATTCTATATTAAAACCATTTTTTGTTAAAAATTTACAGCTATACAACAAACTATGGCCGCTGACATATTGCTTCAGGTTAATGAGTCTGTGCAGTAGGCATGATATAGGTATTTCTGTCTCCTTTTAGAATCATGATGATTGGAAAATTTGATAAATTTCTTCAATTACAACTTGAATAAGAGTAGGAAATGCTGGACGTGATGAAATTGGAGAGGTACAATTTATAGGGTTTGATTACCAAAGGAGGAGTGTGTATTATGTGTGAGTAGAAGCATTTTTCCACACTTTCAGAACAATTCTAGGGGTGTGTATTATGGATAAAGGCATATTATACATGGAGAATTACAGTAATTATTGTTTTGTATTACTTTTAGTACATAACTAGTTGAGATGAGCAACTTGTAAATTATACCACTTTTCTGTGAACACATTTTATGCTTATGTATACACAATCTGAAAGGTATATCTAATTTACATTCTTTGATATGAACAAAAACCTAGCACAATGTTTTGTGTGCTACAAAGCAACAGACATTGGCTTTTATAGATTGTCAAATTGCCATTATTAAATAAGTAATTTCTTTTCTAAGGAGGCTGTTCTTTTTTGTTTTTGTTTTTTCTTTTTCTTTTTTTTTAAGTAAAGAAATGTTGAGAAATTTAAAAAATAAATATTCTTTTTCTTAAATTAGTGAAAGAATAATAAATATTTTATCTGTATTTTGAAGCTTGGTAATTTGTAAATCTGAAGCAAACATTTATTTTATGACAAATTGTGAATTGAATTCATTTTATTGATTTCGAAGAAATGCAATTCACTTATTAAAAATCAATATTTTTTTTTTTCTTCAGGCAACAGCTCGTTCAGCTCCTGATAGAGAGCGAGATATTAACAGTTTGGTAAGTAATTGATGCACCCGTAACATTATCATCTCGTCCAGACTAAAAAAACAACAAAAAAAAAAGTGATAAACCTTTCATATGTAACATTATATTTTATTCAATTCAACTAAGATGCGTGTCCCTGGGATACTCTCCAGACATGGAAACTAAATTGTGCCAGGATGTGAGAGACTCTTTTCCTCATGGGTGGGTGGTTAGTCATCTACCTGTCATACACTTTTATTTCCCTACATGTGCACATACTAGGCACAGCCAGGTATTTAGATGATGGGGGACAGCTGCTCACATCAAGTGAAGTGCAGATCTGCAGCCAGGACATAATTTCTTGGGTCAACTCACTGATACACCTGGGTTCTTTGATGGTCTGATGTGAGACCTTTTCATTTTTGGCCACAAAGTAAATGTCAGCTTATTACTCACAGCAATAAAATGAATTAAAAAAAAATTTTTTTAATTAATGGCCACGAAAAGTGAATCCAGGTAAAAATTGTTGAAAAAGCAATAAAATATAAGCCATTAAATTAAATATTAATGGCTATTAATTTTTAAATGGCCATTAAATTTTAAACCCTAAAAAGGCCATTAATTTTTTTAAACCCAAATAATCTGTCTATATTTCTGAGATGAGGTATTATGTACATTATTTACATTATTTGGACTATTGTCCCCATCTTTGTTGCCATATTTATTACATTTCAGCCGTTGTACACTCCGACCTTCTTCAGGTGATTGGAATTTTGAACTGAACTCTTTATTTCGCTTTGGATAGACAGTTCTAGTTCCACGTGCCATGTTTAATGGATGTCGGTTATATTGCAGTTTTTGCTGTTATCATTGCATTTTTTTTTTTTTTTTTTTTCATTTCTATGCTCGGTTGGCTCAGCAAGGAATCTGCACATATGCTAGGCCACAAGAATCTGAACCAACCAAGCATAGAAATGAATACAATATGAGAACCAGTAATAAGGAGTGCCAAAGAAAAGCGATAATAACTACAAAAATTGCAATATGAGCTCTGGTATATAAAAAAAAAAAAAAAAAATGATTGCTGAAGATATTAGGTTTATAATACCCAGAAATTCATACACAGATGTCCTTAAGGACACATGGCACAGTGGATAAAGGCATTAGTTAGATCCAGTGACAGGACCCAAAGAGTGTGCGTTTAATACCCGGCTAAGGCAGTGGAGAGAGAGGAAAATTAACAGGAGTTAACTGATAACTGGCATCCGTTAGACATCACATGTAGAACTAGAACAGTCTACCCTAATGAATGAAATAAAGGATTCAGTTCGACATTACAACCACCTGAAGAAGGAAGGAGCATACAACGGCCGAAACATAAGAAATGTAAATAATAAACCCCAAAAAGTTAGACAATTATAAGATTTTATTGAAATTTTGGTAATTATTTTGTAATGAATATGATGTTTTAAAGTTTTTATTTTTAAATCTTGTAGAAATATTTTTATGTCTCATGGAAATAAAATATACATACTTGTAAACTTGTATACATTCACAATTTGAATGAAATTGAAATACATCTGTGCAAAAGAGTTAACCTCTGGGTAATAGGAAGAGAGAATAAGCCAAAATGTAAAGCCCTTTAAAATCATTTTTATGACTTTCTGTATTTCAACTGAATATATTTTCTAATAAATATTTGTCCATTTAAAGTATTACAATTTGATCATCTTGTCATCCGTGAAGCAACAGGGCTACAAAGTAATGTATACTAAACTCATTTAGCATAAAAGCTGAAACTTTAATTTCTTGTACCTTCTTTTTAATTTCATTTTTTTCCTTTTTATTAACAAATTTTAAAATATTTTCCAATTTGTATTTTCCAGGTATCTAAAGCTAACTTTAGTGGCGACCCATATCTGTATCAGTTTGGGGTCAGAGTTAATCCCAAAATGGTAGAAGTTGAGGGACGTGTTATTGATGCCCCAAAAATCCAATATGGTGGCCGGGTAAGAATGAACTTCATTTTATGTCAACTCCAAACACTTCATTATTAACATTTTTGCAATGTAATGTTATGTCCCTACAAAAATAAAATAATGTCTATTCTATCTATATTTTGTTAGAGAGATTTACCTTAACCTAGCTTGGCCTAAGGCTATAAACATTTGATCACTTGTGGCACTAGACTGTTCTGCAAAACATACTTGTTAATGATCACTCTATTCTGAGTGCTTATATTTTGTTATATACTGGGTGATTGAAAAGTAACTCCCTACTTTAAAATACTTAGTGTATATGCTTGCATATCATGCGACTTTTGAAACTAATTTTAAGGGGGTCACATTATACACAAGATATAAAATTAGCATATGTACTACTGGTCCTGGCCACGCCATTGACCAGACTATATAACTATTTACTGTAGTGAAAAAGTACAGCTGTATTTAAAATAAACCTGATTTTGAGGAAACTGATTTTTTACTTAACTGTATGCAAAAATAATGTATATAATATTCACATATTAGTATTTTATTATAAAATACAAATATAGCAAATATGCAACTTTTTCCATTGCTTGTGTTTATAAGATGTTTAGTTGTTTCTCGTTCGGTAGTTTATGGCTCTACATGTATAGCTTTACTAATGATACTTTTATCATTCTCTTTTACTTATTTAACAAGATGAGGGAAAAGAGATGAAAAGAGGTTAGTTTATTGTAATTTGGTCTCTGAAAATGTATGATACATGAGATGCATTATAAAATCATTTTTTTTTATAAGTGAAAATTTGGATGGGGAATGTGATGTGCGAGATTGCACATTGTACAAGTATATACAGTAGAAGTTATTTATTAACTATAATTTTTACAAGAAATGGATATGAGAGGAAAGTGTTTAGCATGAGGTTTTATTTAAAATTTGATATGGGCACCAGATTTTGCTACCAGCTTATCAAGCTGACCAAGAATCTCATCAACTGATTTCACCAGGAACTCTTGTGGTATGGAAGATATAACTTCTTGTATTCGCGCTTCAAGTTCTTCCAAAGTGTTGGTTTGGTATAGTATACTTACTCCTTTAACCAACCCCAAAGAAAAAAGTTACAGGGTGTTAAGTCAGGGCTACTGGCTGGCCACTCATACAAATAGGAAGTTACTTTTCAACTACCCTGTATATTATAATTCTAACAGTAAAGAATTTTAAGTTTAAAATGATAAATAACCAGTTTCAGAATCACTAGAAAACGGATAAAAAAATATCTAAAGTCTTCATGAAAGGAAATAAGTCAAATGACATTCTATGAAATGAGCCCAAGAATTTATACAAAGGCTTTAAATAATAAAGTAACCAAGTTCTATTAGAAGGCAGTCAGCAATTAATGGAAATATTAACAGTGAAATCCAAAGTATTTTGTATAATTTTTAGATTGTTGAGGAAATGGAAATACTGTGAAAAAAGTGTTATATTTTTAACTTTAAAATATAACGAATATCATTTTGAAAATAATCCCACTTTTAGATAACTAAATTCATTGAAGACTGAATTGTGGAGTATTAGTAAAAAAAATCTTTTGGTTATTGCCTTTCAAATGAATTGGTGCGGAATATTGCATTCACTTGTTTGAGAAATACTTGTGACATTGTCCCCCGGTCGCAGCGCCGACTGTGACGTTCTATCCTGATCTACCACGGCACCAGTTGTGACGTCCCCAAACAGCACCAATTGTGACGTCCTCGCCGCGGCGCCAGCTGTTAAGCTCCCCGTCGCTGCTCTAAACGTGGCGTCCGCCTGTCGCGTCAGCCGTGTTGTCTCGTCCTGTGACGACCAACTGGCTTGGTATCGGTCGCGTAACCGAAATGTGACGTTCTAACCTTTTGGTGATTCGGTGGGAATCTGGTTAGATTTGATATCAGCCTCGTTTTTCCCAACTCGCCCAACGCCTGGTTACCAAAGGTAACTGCATTGATCTCCAGTCTGCCTACCCACGTTGTGAATTGATCTTAGGCAGACGAGATCAAACAGTGGTTGGGCCGTAATGCAAATTGAGTTCAGCGGGGGTGATACTACACAAATATGCATAAAAGAAAATAAAATGAAAACTCAAAAAGTTCAAAGTATCAAAGAAAAAGGTAACAAACTTTGTCTAGTTGTTCGATACATAGGACTGCATCTATCTCCCGCCCCGTTCTGTGGATTGTGACACGTCGTTTTCCGTTAGGCAAGTTTTAACGCTTCAAGTTGTTTGCTCTCTTAGAAATTGGCGTTTTGGTGTGTCTTTGTACGAAAGTCGAAAAAAAACTTATTTCAGTGGTCTGGATCTAAGTCGCTCTTCAAAATAATCGTTCTTGGGTTGAAGAGGAGTCTGGAATTTGCGTGAATCTTGGTCAGCTAAACTCACTGGAACTGCTGGAACTCAACTCTGGAAACTCAACTCTCCGCTGGAGCCCGAACTCTGATTTCTGCCTGTTGGGGCCTACGCTTTTATTGCCTTGACCAAAACCAGGGTGGGTCTGTCGGCGTCGGGGGTTCCTCGATAATTCTAAATACATATCCACCTCTTTTATTTCTGGTTAAGGATTTTCCACTCTTTTCCATTTTTGGGAACCTTTCCTTACTCCCACTTTCTCACCATACTCCAGAGGGGCGTGAACTGCCCTCCCCACTTCTTCATAGCAGCTTCTCATACTTATACTCTGGATGAGACGTCAACAACCTCCTTCGTGTGTCACGTGATCACCACTTGACCAATGATGTCTTAGTCAGGTGGGAACAAATCCAGCGGCTTTGTTTCGGGGGATATCTTGCTTAACTTAAAAAAATTATCTCTTCTCTTTCCCTTTTCTTCCGCTTTAATTGCCGTTATCATTTTTCTAGCCGCAAACAGACAATATGACAACTCTTGTTCTACACGTGGTTTTTGTCGGGTATTTTATCGCTAATTATCAAAATGGGTGGTCTTCTTAACACGGCCTCAAAAAAGAAATATCTCTAAAGTTTCAGTCAGTCTGTCGCCTCCAAGGAAGAAGAAAAAACACTTCTGGGTCCCCATTCATTTTCCTTCGGTACATATTTCTGATAACATAATTTTATTATCGCAGGCCAAAGTTGTTTCGTCGAAAAAAAAATCGGTCAGCAGACACAGTTTGCGTGGCTTTTAATTTTTCATATCTACCCAAAGTCCTGTAGTTACACCTGTGTTTTGTCAATTATCAAAATTAACGTTTTCAATTGAATTTTTCCCTGGCCAGCCGACCAGCCGTTTTGTTTACGTACTCCTAGATAACACAGCCGTTATCAAAACACATCTATTTTTTTTTTTTTCTTTTTACTCAGAATTTCCCTGTCATTGTAATGACACCCTTTTCGCCATTTGTTACTTATCAATATATTCATTGTCTCTTAGCCGTGTGTGTGTTCTGCTGATCACCCACGATTCGTCTCGCCTTTCATTCTGCCTTCTTTTCTTTCTTTTCCTTTTCTGCCTCGTAAATGGTGCCACATACTGAAAATAAGATAAATGCTGCTTCATAAAGTACAATAGACTTTTACCAATCTATAATTGAGACTATCTTTAATACAGCAATTAATTTTTCAAAAAGTTCATTGTTGTATTGATGAACATATAAATATCAAGTATTAGAAAATCTTTACTCTGACACATGATAATGACAAAAGCAGAGAAGTATATGAAAATTTAGATAACTCTATGGGATCATTTGACAGAGCGGAAGTTTGTGAGCTGAGTGGATTTTTGCATAAATGTAAGTAAAATTTATAAAAATGTCTTGTATAAAGAGAATAGACTTGGTTTCATAGAAAATTGTACAAGTAAAAGATTTCAAGATTTTTTTAAGGAACTTTAGTTTGATATAAAGGCAGAGATGAATCTTATGGTAGTGGAATATCTGGATGTGAAGCTAGATTTAAATAAAGATGTAGTCAGACCATTTAAAAACTAAATACAGTGTTATTACATAAATATATTGTCGAATCATCTGAAAAATGTACTGAAAAGTATTGAATAGAAGTGGTTTGCTAATTTGATGAAGGAGTTAATACTCAATGAAATAAAAGATGATTAAAAACAGCATTGGCAGGACATGCCTTTGAGGAACCTAGGGTTGCAAGATATCGGTGCAGTTTATATAACAAGCTAGTTTGGTTTTTTTTTTAAGTGAGTAGTTTGTTAGCCTACTGCACAACCCCCCCCCACACACACACACACACGCACACACTGGAGAAGCAGGTTTTGAATTCAGAGTTGACTTTCTCCTAGGCCAGTCACCGCTCAAGAATATAGAACCCAATCTGTCCTACTGTTTACGCTATTACGCTATTTCGGCATTTACTTTGTCTCTCGCAAGATGGCGGAAAGACCGTTCGATATAAAACTGATCGCCGAAATAGCTTGAAGTGTAAGCGTTCTCAAAGCAAATTTGTGGCTTTCACAACACAAAGAAAGAAAATCACTTGTAACGCGTCAGGAAAATAACTCACAAACGCCGTAGCCAAAACTGCCCGAATTTTCCGTCCCCAAGTCGACAACACCAACTGCTTTTATCGGCAGAACCTATTTTTTCCATTAAATGGAAACAGCCGGGATAGGATGCTCCGTAATTTGCATATTAATATACTCTTATAGCGACTCCTGCGATGGACTTGTTTCTTTTTTCGTCACAGAATACACGCGACACGCTGTCGCTTGGGTTGACGAGGTAAGTTGCTATAAGAATTTGGCTGACTGCTTTTTGGCAATCCCTCCCCGGCAAATCGCACACAAAACACGAACTTTTTTCCGGGGTACTTGATTATCTCGTTCACTACAAAAACATACACTGAAATATCACTAAAAGCATGTTGAATCATAAATTAAAATCATACAATTTTATTTATTTTTGTGTCTTAGTGTGTATTTTAGTTACAAGTGTTTTAAGGTTGCATGTGATAAAAGGAAGAAGTCACTTTGTATTATGACAAGCAATGTCCTAAAGATTGGGGATGACTCTCTTAACCTTTATGTTGATGGTCATTAACAATGAGACTGAATTCAGCATCTTTTGGTGCAAAGTCCGTTTTTGGGCAGGAAATGTTTCTGTTGCATTCTGGGAGAACTTGTTATTTTTAATGTTATTTGTTTTATTTTATTTATGATATTATTTTATATTTTTATTTATTAATAATAATAATAATAATAATGTCCCTCCACCATAAATGGACATGCAAATTTGTGACACCATCGGATGTAACAGCCTGAAGAGTCAATGATGAAACTTAAGTAGCTTATTTGTGAGTTTTAAATCGATTTTAATTTCTTATATTTTATTAATGGATATGTGTGCATAAAGGGAGAGAGAGATGAAACAAAGGATATTTCAGTAAAATAATTTTTTTTTCTTTTAGGCAATCAATCTTAGTAATTAAAGTGCTCAATGGACAGAGCATTAATAACAATAAATAAAATGTTTACTTACCTCTACTCAGGGTAGATTCTGGAGTCCACTCATCAGGAGATAAAAGTATTTTTTATTTAGTTTTATATATCATATTTTTCTTATGACATAATTTGAATGCATTTTTTGACTTATGTGTAGCATGTGTTTGTTCTTATATGTATATAGGTGTATACTAGTATAGTACCAGTTAAAAACTTATGTATCACTAAATTATAAGTTATTTTAACAATGTTCATTGTGTGCAAGGCCCAAGAACCACTTGAGGTAGAGGGTTACAGAGTACGAGGCGCAGTTTATGGGGATAGGTAGGGAAGATAAGTTAACCCTAGACTTGAATAGGTTAAGATCTTAGTAATCGGAGAAGCATCCTCTTGGGGGTTGATTCTACAAAGCAGCAGTTCATGGAAGGAAGCTGATCTTCCTAATAGAATACAAAGGGAATGAAAGTGGTATGGTGGGCCTTAGCCATAACATTTACAACTGGTGAAACTAAAATGTAGTTTGAACTCTTTCCATGACAGTAGCAATAATACAGTAAGAATCTTGCTCCATTTTATCTGTTGGAAAGAGGTTGTAGGGCGGAAAGTGACGCTTTTGAACACTTCCAAGACAGTCAGGAGCTGCCTGGTCTTCACCTTCCAATCTGGTTTTTGTAGAGGATAATAAGAAGTCAAGTATTTATGTGGCCTAGTGGTTAAAATGTTTGCATTCTGACCATGAGACCCAAGTTTGAATTTCACCATGATCGATTTGTCAAAAAGGAGACTTCTTGATGTTATCAGACTGAAGGGGGTTGATCCCAGCGTGTGGCACCTTTGGAAAGTACCTGAAAACCATACCATGGATTGACCCAAGCCTTGTGAATGGAATTTAGTAGACTGAATCTTTGGGGGCCGTCAATAGCTGTGCTAGCATAGTCACAAGTCATTGTGGACGAGGGCTTGAGCGTGCTGGCCTTGTTCAAATTGTTCATCCCACTAGATAACAAGCTCCTTCCCAGAAACTGAAATTAAGGTCTTCTCAGCATAGTTTCAGTATAAACCTCAGGTGGGCTCTGTGGGTGTTGAATAAGCACAAAATGTACCTGAGCAAGCATCTGAAATAGTGATTGACTAGCTGCCCTAGTAGATAGGTGTCCTTGAATACAAATGGCCAGCTATACTATACAGAGAACCAAACATTTTTCCAACATCTTTAGCATTGGATCAATTTTACTTGAAGTCTGAGTTGAGCTTAAGTCCCAAGAAGTGCTCAAAGCAATGGGGTTGGCATTCCTTAGAGGACACCTGTTCATCATGATAGGTGAAAATTCAGGGTCTGCTTAGTGAAGATTGAATGTCATTAGTTTGGTTTTTGAGTGTGACCAGCCAGTTTTTTCCCCTACTGAGCTGTTAAAGCTATGTCGGAAGAGAAATCGGCCACCAATCTCTGGTCATCTAGAGTTTGGCAGGTGGCATCCATATACGGTTGTATCATCAGCATAGATATTCACAAATGACCTGAATATGCTCTTAGGCAGATCATATATGCAAAGTGAAAAAAGAGGGTGGGGCCGAGAATATATTGTATTTATTGCAATAATTCTTAGAGGAGGTCACACTATTTGTAAAGAACTGTGGCCTTGATCATCTTCCATCTATACTTTGGTGTCAGGCTGCTTCCTTGTTAGATCAATCAGCAATTACTTATAGGGAGAATAAAAGTTCTCAGCCCAACCAATAAACTCTTCCAAAACAAATGTTTTGGTCAAATTTTGGGACATAGCTTGGGTCAAAAACTTTTCAGCAACTTCCCAATAATTTTATCAAAAAATCCCCTCATTAAACAACTTTTGAAATTAATATCCAAGATTTTGTGTATTTATGTATAGACTTCCTGATGTTATCAATCTGGACGGGATGATCCCCGCATGAGGCATCTTTGGAAAATGCCTGAAAACCATACCACAGGTTGACTCGAGCCTTATGAGTGAAATTGGGTAGACAGTACCCTTGAGTCATCGATAGCTGCACTAGTACAAAGTCAAAAGTTATTGTGACTGAGGGTTTGAGTGTGCTGTTGTTGACCACGCAAGATAACACACTTTCTCCAAGAAACTGTAACTAAGGTCTGCTCAGCATAGTCGCAGTATTAACCACAGGTGGGCCCTGTGGGTGTTGAGCAAACACAAATGTGCCTGAGTGGGCGTCTGCAAAAAGAATTGGCTAACCACCCTAATAGACAGGTATCCTCAAATACAAGAGGCCAGCTATTAGTGTGTGTGATATATATAATCATTCTTTTATTGAAAACGTCGGACAAGGAAGATTTAATTAATCTTTTATTGAGTTTTTCCAGCAACTAACATTTTTTCATTTTTCAGGTGTTAAAGAATATAGAAATTGCCTGTAGTTATAATTGTTCCGAGTGCTCTCGTCTACTTTTTATAGCCATTATCAAGGATCCTTTTCAGGTCACATAGTCGGACACAGCTCATTATTATGGAGGCTCTGCTTATTAAATTTTATTCTCCCACTATCAATCTCACAATATTTAGCAGAGGAGATGGTGTATTAAAAGTGTTCTAAAAATAGAAGTCTTGCCCTTGTTAATTGGCTGCTCATAACATGTGATCGACAAGAAGCACACAAACTGCTCAAACACCACCCTGTAAAATTACTATGTAGCAGCCACACACAGAATTTCACCATCTAAAAACACATCCTTGATAATGGTTAGAGAAGTAGCTGAAAGTGCTCAGGACAATCATGGACAATTCCTGTATTCCTTAACCCCTGAAAAAGGAAAAAAATGTTAGATTGCTGGAAAAAAAAAACTTGGTAAAAGATTAATTAAACCTTCCTTATTTACATTATTTGGACTGTTAATCTCATCTTCATTGCCATATTCACAATGTTTTGGGTGTTGTATGCTCTGGCCTTTTTCATTTGATTGGAATTTTGAACCAAACCCTTCATTTCATACACCAAATTAGATTGTTCTAGTTCTCAGTTATTTCCCCCTTAACTCAACTCTCTTAAGTTTTTTTTGTTCACCACTGCTGTAGCCTGGCATTGAACTCCCAACTTTTGGGGCCTAGTCCAGTAGATAAAGACGTTGGTTAGAGCCATAGACATATCATCATTGACAATTGCGGAAAAAATGTCTTTAGCATATTTTCCACAATTGTCAATGATGACATGTCTATGTTCCAGTTTATCATGGTATGAAAAAATAACTCACCCACCACCACCCTCTGACCATACTTTTCTATTTAACATTCTAACATTTAATTAGTTAATCAAGACCTACCCACAAGTCTATTTTTAATTCTGGCCTTATGTGCCCTCACCTTTAACTTTCAGAAAAGAGCTAACACTTGATTTTTAAAGTTTCTTAAAAACCATTTAGTCACCAGTTACTTAACATTGCCTGAAGAAATACCATCAAAGTATTGAAACATGAAAGCTTTTGTGTAGCAATTTAAAATGGTTTTATTATAATCTCTTATAATAAAAATATAATATGTTGCTCTACTTTGTATTGAGCACTTTTTTAAAAAGTAAATTCTATGAACAGTGGATTTTTATTCCATCTGTTCTTTTTCTCATTTGGAGATATATAAGGAATTCATGGATTGGATTTTTATTGGAGAACAGTTCCAGTTGATTTTGTTAAATTCACTTACATGCAAATATCCTTGAGAAAAGTATGAATTCACCTCTTCTTCCCCCAGTTATGGGTTAATTAGTAAGATATGTTGTGTTTGTCTTGTCTGGTTTTCTAAGTAAATGTAAACTCTGACTTAACACTTCAACACAAAACTCCTACTGTCCACATGCCAAGATTGCTTTCTCCCAACTTATTTAGCTCTCTCACTCTAACTCACATTGACAATTAGCTAATACTATGGTGGACTGTGTAATTTATATTTAAATAATTTTGTATGTTAAAATGATGTTTCTTATTTTTCAGACGAAAGCCTTAGCCATTCCTAATCAAGGAGTTTGGGATATGCGAGGGAAACAATTTTATAATGGTATTGAGATTCGAGTGTGGGCCATTGCATGTTTTGCTACTCAAAAATCTGTGAAGGAAGAAGCTCTTCGGTAAGTGTGAGGTTAAGAGTTGATAACATTTGGAGGCTGTTTATTTGTAGGATTTTAGAGAAAATATACCATTCTCAAATATTTTGATTGCACCTAGTCACACACAAATAAGAGGGCACTGAAAAATTCTCAGCCCAACGACTGTCACACACCACATACACACACACACACACATATATATATATATATATATATAGTGTATTTAGGCAGCAATCCTTCATTTATGCATGTTTCATTAAAAACAACAAAAGGTACTATGGTTAAGCTTTTTATTTAATTTTTCTTGTGTTCACATAAGAGCTTTCTTTTTTGGACACAGAATGTGTAGAAACTGTCCAAATGTTCTATCCAAGTGCTTTCAGCTATACTTTTACCCATTATCAAGGGTGATTTTATTTTTCAGTTTAAACGAGTGTGTGTGTTATGTGTATGCTTTTAGTGTGTTATAGAGGTGTTTTATTTTTTGAATACAGCACATTGTGGCCTTGTACGTAGTTAATATTTTTAAGTGTTGGCTTTTTCTCTTTATTATTAGGGCTTCCATTATTTTTAATCTTTTTTTCACAAGTGGATGAAGTTATTATATGTGTGTTTTCTATTAGTATGTTTCGAATAGAATCTGGTAGGTTTATGTGTGTGTTTAAATAGAGTTGTGATCAGATCGGTGTAACATGAGGCGTCTGGATAGGCATGTAGTTGTGTGCCCGATGTAATTATTTATAAGTTCGATTTGATCAGGTACACTGTTTCTTAAGGGGCATTTCAACTTGTAGATAATGTTCATTCGTTGTAATTTTGACTTAGATTTTTGCTGTTATTGCATTTTTAAAATTTTTTTTTTTTTTTTTTCAACAGAGCTCATATTGCAATTTTTGTTGTTATCACTTTTCTCTGGCACTCCTTCCTTTCTTGTATTCATTTCTATGCTTGGTCGGCTCAGGAGATTTTGTGCTGATTCCTTAAGTTTATGAATTTTCCTATGATGTTCTTTGTCTATGATTTCACCAGCAGTGATTTCCACTTTCTCTCCATATGTGGTCAGCCATACCTGATTTTTCCACTTCCCCTCGTGTTACAGCTTTCTGGTGTTCTTGAAGCCTTACCTTAAGGGGGCGGCCTGTCTCCCCTTTATATTTATTTCTGCAGCTGTACAGGATGGCATACACACAGTCTTAGTCATGTTCTCCTCTATGGGGGTGGGGGTCTTACTCGGAAGTGATATCTGTGAAGTGTTGTCCAGCTTTTGAAGGTTGTCCTGATGTTATATGGATCATAGATCCTTTGTATTTTCTCTGATAACCTGTTCACATAAGGCAGGCAGACTGTTTTCTGAGTGTTGTTGTACTCCTCTTGTGCCCACCTATCCCAGCTAATTGGGGCTGCTGTCATGTATCCAGGGTAGTTGTTACGTTGTAGGGTACTATTTATGCTGACCAATTCTTTATCGAATGTCTCTGGGTCGCCACTTATGACTTTTGCTTGGTGTTGACGATCCCTTTCTTTATTCTGTATGGATGGTGGGAGTTGAAGAATTATCATAAAATTAAATTAGAATAATAATATTCTGTTTAAAACCAATTTTTTAAATAAGAATAGGAAACACTGTCCATAATGAAATTGGAGAGGTACAATTTATAGGGTTTGATTACCAAACAAAGGGTGTGTATTATGTACGAGTAGAGGCATTTTCCCACACTTTCAGCACAATTTTAATTGCGTATTATGGATGAAGATATATTATACATGGGAATTATGGTAGTCGTCTGAAATTTCAACAGTCTCAGCGCTTTTACAAATAATATAGCTGATTTGTTATTATACGTGAATGTGGAAATTCAGATCCGTCTACATTTTGCACAAAAAGGTTTTTGCAGTATCACTAAACTCATTGCATTTTTTTATAATTCTTTAATGGGGTTCAATACATATAGTCTGTCCCTAACACTGGCTAACACCAACTCTGAGACCTGGCAAACCATTGCTGCAAATTGGCCTTGGCATAAAACTGTCCAAGGAAGGACTGTGACTTTCGAGTCTAACTGTCAACATGAAAAGGATCTGTGACAATGCTGTCAGGAGGTCCCGATTGCCCACCCACACTCCTCTGTGGCTCCTGCTCATGACTTCAAGAGTAGGCAGGACCTTCACAGCCATCTCTGCCACCAGAGAAGGAGAAAGGTAATAAGGAGAGTGGGTGACAATCCTGATGCGATTGGGTGCTATAGACTAAAATCGCTTGAAACTGAGTCACCATGAAGTGTTGATTTCAATGCCTAGATTGTTGCTATTTTATATTTTTAATTTCACACGTGCGCATTGTTGGTTTTTGATTTTGTTGACTGCACAGTATAGTGGGGTCAGTTGGGCACCGTCAGTGACAAAAAGAGCACAACGACACAATTCATTCAGCCAGAAATTTTGAAACGGCATACTGTACTGTATGAGATCTGTTCGCAGAAATTGTCTGACAGACATGACTGGGTTCTCCTGCTTGTGTGGCATGGTGCAGAGTCCTGTTGCCAGATATGGTCTTCAAGCAGTCACCTTCTTGATACAGGGTAACACTACCTCAAGGAACTTGATGTAGGCCTCTGTGTTGAGTCTGAGGCACTGTGGGAAGATAAATGGAGGCATAATGTTGCCATCACTAGCGATCACTACAAACACATTCGTAATCAACATGACACTCCAACTTTTTCTGAATCCTCTGCACTGTCCTCAGTTTGGCATCCAAACACACTGAAATGTTCATATTAGAGCTTCTGGCACGAATGCCAAGCAGTACAGCATGCCATTTCCAAATTTCTGGTGGAGTGAATTGCATCATGGTGCTCTTTTTCTCACAGTGCCCAACTGATCTGACTATACTGTGCAGTCAATAAAATCAAAATCACCCTGTATATTGATCACTGTATATAAATTAAGGGTATTTTTTAAGGAAATGAAATATTTGCTTATTTACTAGATGTAATTTCAGCTTAAAAAATGCAGCTTTAATTAAAAGTAGAAGCAATTCACTAAGGCAAAAATGTATAGAAAGTGCAATGATTTCTTAATCATCCAGGACAAACTTGCATCCTGGTTCTTAGAAAATTTCACCTTTTTTAACTTCTTTGAAGTTCTGAGATAAATAATTTTAACTTTATTCTACATTTTTTGGCATATCTTTATCTTTGTTGTTTTAATTTTCATTTTGGTTAATGTCTTCTATAAACTAAAAACATGAGGTAGTTTTTTTTGTTATATTTTTCAATTCATATTGCTGTTTTTATCAGAATGTCTCAGTTAAAATGTTGTGATCAAAAGAACAAAGATGAAAATATTAGTTAATTGAATCTGGACCATGAACATTGAAATAAAAATATTCATAATGGTGATCTTTCATAAAAGAATTTGATAGCTTCAGATGATGGCATTATTATTTCTTTTTCTTATTCTCTTTTCTTTTCTTTTTTTTTTTTTTTGTCTGAAAGGAGCTTTACCCAACAACTACAGCGGATATCTAATGATGCAGGAATGCCAATTTGTGGACAACCCTGCTTTTGTAAATATGCCAGTGGCCCAGAACATGTTGATCCCATGTTCCAATACTTAAAAAACAAGTTCCAAGGATTGCAGCTAATTGTGGTCATTCTGCCTGGGAAAACACCTGTCTATGGTAAGTTTAATTTCTTTAAATTTTAACGTCACAACAGCAAACATCAAACTTTATAACTTTTTTTTTTTTTTTTTTTTTTCCATAATTTTGAGTGTTTTAAAATTTAAATTCTTGGAATTTGAAATAAAGAATTATTCAGACAAATGTCAAACCATAATTCACACTAAATTATATGACAATAGAATACCATTTTTGCCATTAAATTTACTAATAGTGCTTATTCTTGTTTCCCTGCGAAAGCTACCAGCAGATAGTTGTTGCCTGCTTGGTGGTGAAGATAATTAGTCATTTTCAACTGACACCAGGAGGGTGGGGATCTAGTGCCCAAGTCCAGATAAAAATACTGTTTTTTAGAGCAAGCAATCACCATTTTATTAGAAGATTGGTACAACATTACCTTCCTATACTGTTTCGCCTTCTACCAAACTAAATTTATTAAATATCTATTCTCATGACCTTTTAGTTTAATTTACTAAACACTATTTTGTGGTGGTTGTCGTACAATGACAATATTATTGCTTGTCTCTACGAGATTAATTGCTTTTTGTATTTTGTTTTTTTACTGAGACCTTTGCTTTTTTTATTATTGCTGCTGTTGCCATCTTTGTGGTGAAAATGGTGGGTATGACTGTAACAGGAAAAAAAATTATCACCCAGAGACAGCTGTCAGCTTCAAAAGAGACACTACATAAGCTGTGTATGGTTTTGCAACTGCAATGATCAAATAAACTCTTGAGAAAGAGGTGCTACTTTTATCTGAAGTCAACTTTGAACATTTATAGCAATCTTCAGAAAAAGATGAAGCGAGATTTTGGTCAGTAGATGGGTAACACTAGCAGTGATATACGAGATGGGTAACACTAGCAGTGATATACGAGATGGGTAACACTAGCAGTGATATACGAGATGGGTAACACTAGCAGTGATATACGAGATGGGTAACACTAGCAGTGATATACGAGATGGGTAACACTAGCAGTGATATACGAGATCATCAACAATGCAAATTCAGAGGTGAATGAGGCTTAGAACAGCTGTCATTCTTTATATCATCCTTCATCATCCAACAGCTTTTACTACAAGACTTTATTGTTGGTGGAACTTTTCCCTCAACGAAAGATGAACTTCATTTGCTTTTAGTTCTAATACACAGTAAATCTTTACTTTTTCACTGTAGCTTTTCCCAAAGTCTTTGTTGTTATTATCAACATATTTCAGCTATTGGTCAGCCTTCTTCAGATGTCTGAGATACATAGATGTGTGTGTGTGTTTTCTGATTCCTTCCTGGTCCGCAGCAACCAATTGGTACCTTCAAGTCCCTCCTGGTCGTCCAAATGTCCAATACCTACAGATGATCAATAAGGTGATTGCTTCAACTCAGACCTTGCCTTATCCCATTTTGTGATTAGTTTTGATCATAAAGTCAGCCAAGATCAAACTGTCATCAGGTATCTTCATATTGGGCTGGTCCAAGCAAAATGAAGACACAAGAAGGAAATAATCTGGGTAAAAAAAAAATGTTTATATAAGTCCTTCTATACAATAGTTGGTTAGTTTGTTGTCAAAATCTAGCAGCTCACATGTGGACGCTTATTGACCCAACCCACTCCTTTAGACATGATACTTTGCAGGCTTGGTGAAGTTTGGCACAAGGCTGATATTGGAGGTTCTCTTCAGGCAGGTAGTCATATGAGGTGTTTCTCATCTGGTGTCTGGAACAATCTTTTTCTCACTTTGACTCTGACATTGACATTCACCCAAAACCGGTGTGGGTAGAGAAGCATGATGCCATTGGCGAATTCAGTATTTTCTTTACTTTTCACAAAGATCCCTTTCTACTGGATGGGTTTGGAAAATTAATTACTTCCCAATTTGGGAGATCCATCTTTTCGATGGGTAGTAATCACGGCATCAATCTCCTCCACCTTCCTTGGTGTCTCCTCTGTGCCAGCTGCCTTAGCTACTCCTCAACTAATGGCTCTTGACTGCTTGGCATGGCTTAATTCCAAGATTATTACTCAAAAGAATGAGCCATCAACTCACCGACATAATCCCAAAAGGGGCTTACCTGAGGATAATGGTAGGTGTGCAAAGCTGTTTCCTCTAACAATTTGACAAATCTGCCTCTCCCTATCTGAAGGTTACGTCATTGAGAGGTAGTGCTTACCCCAAGAAATGGGAGGAGTGATAGTAAGGCTAGGGAAGATGTCTCTAACACTCCGCACCAAAATCTAGGCTTCCGTCAAAACGCGGTGTAAGAAAGCCAACCTAGAGGCATGGCAATGACTTACCAGGTGTGGCAATCCTAGCCCCCCATGACACGGATGTTGATAACAGGCTTCATACAGACCCAATGTTTGCGACCACCCAACAAGAGGTTGGTCAACAAACACTCGATCGCCTCCATACAGGCCCTGCAAAGAGGAAGTACAGGCAAACGGTAAAGGATGAGGTGCAAGATGTAAGTGGCACATGCCTCAACCCTACCCTTTAAGGACAACCTCCTTCGAAGCCAAGTCCAGACTGACACTCTGACCTTTGCCTCAACTTCTGACCGTTTCTTCTTCAGCCAAAGTCTGGGCCGAACCACACTCCAAGAATGCGGATGGATCCATCTGTCCAGCCAAAAAGTCCTGGAAGCACAACACCCTTCCAGGCACCTAACCGCAAGTCGGAAGACTTGTTGCAGTTAATCTCGGCCTATCTGCACCATCTTAACGTCGCTATGACACAAAGATGGACACGTCATTGGCATATGCAGAAACCCTAGCTCGAGCTCTACCAGGGAAAAACGATGATTCTGTGTAGGGCCAGACTGCATTCCCTATCCCTTAGCCAGAGAAGGAGGGACTCCAAGGCATAAAGTAAGGGCGATAGTGGTGCCCACTGTTGGACCGACCGAGTCAACGGAAAAGCACTCGACTGCCTTCTGTTCACCTGTACCACAGCACTGGGGGATTGATACAAGAGGCTAGTCCACTTGCGGAGGTCGGGTGCGAAACTGGCAGCCTGCAGAACAGCAGCCAAGTACTGATGGTCCACTCTGTCAAATGCCTTGGACTGATCTAAATTGATCAGCGTGGCTTGCTTGTCATTTTCTACACCCTTTATGACCCTTTGTGATCATGTGGATCAGATGCAGGTTGCTTTGAATTGTCTGCTTGGGTCCCAACAAGCTCACCACAACTGACTGCAAATACTCCTGCAGGATGTTGGCCAAAATCTTTAACTCTATGTTTAGCAGAGTTATCGGCCTGTAATTGTCTAAATCCCTCCCAACACCCTTGACCTTTTTCAACAGCGTGATCACACCCCTGGAAATTCAATCGGGGATGGACCCCTGCCGGAACCAGTTGTTGAACACCACTGTCAAATTTGGGACAAAGATGTGCGACAGCCTCAAATACACTTCATAAGGCAGACCATCAAGTCCCAGAGACTTGCCACTGCCAACCCTCTTTAATGCCAAGTGAACTTCACCCTCCATAATCTCACCCTCGCAGCTAGCCGCTTCAGTCAGCGAAAGCCAAGGAAAGTCAGCCAAATAGCTGCAAAACTCATTGCTACTGAGACCAGGCTCCTTGGTAAAACGGCTCTCGAAATGCCGCCGAAACGCCTTGCACATGTCCTTGGTCGACTGGAGAGAAAGCCCCTCTGGGGTAATGACTTCAAGAATGTAATGATCAGAACCTTCCTTGTGCAATTCTGCACCCATGTTCACAGCCTCATTAGACATCTTGTTTAACCTATGTCTAACTACCTGACCCTGATAACACTTGCTAGCATCACGCTTCAGGGCCTGCCTTGCTACAGCTATCTCTAGGGAATCCCCCGCCAGCTACCGCCCAGGACAGACTATCCTCTAGAGCCTTCACCTTATTAGGCTTATCTAGGGTGAGTCATTGGCTATATTCAGTGGGGAAGGACCTAATCCTATCCTTAAGCCTCTCCCAGACAGATTGAACTTCCAGTGTCTAGCCATTGTAGGCCTAGCACCTAACACCACCCGGGCACAGACGAGTCTATTACCCATATAGTCTAAATGCTCCTCCTTATTGTTGGGCACATAAACCGCAATAACCCAAAACAAACCACTGCTCACGGCAGTATTGGCCACGATCAACCAGCCCCCCAACGCCCATATGTACGGGGTCAACCCTTGCTCCCAGTGAGCGTTTGACTAACAAGGAAACACCTCTGGCCTGTCAGTCCCCGTATGCTGAATAGATATCAAAGTCAGTAGACAGCACATGAGCATCGACTTCACAAACGGTGTGTTTCCTGGATCGCAGCTACATCTACGCCAAAGGACCCAAGATCATGAAGTAGGTGGGAAGCCTTACCCCAATCTCTCAGGCCCCTCACATTCAAGCTAGCTAGCTTGATAGACATCTTTTAAGCCTGAGTCCCTTAACCGCAGACTGGACGGAAATTAGCAGGTGTCAGGACCCCGATAGATTGTCCCAGGCCCCCATACCCAAGTCTGTCGTCATGTGACCATCTGGGACAACCCCACCAACATCCATAGGGTAGGTTAATTTAACTGCCCTATATACAGAGGCGTAGAGTAATACAGGGACCTTCCCTGCACAGAATCTAGCAAGTTTTTTGAGGTCAGGTGTACCTAACTCGAATACCCTAATGTCTAGGAATACATCCCTACATTCATATAGGTGGTACCAAACTTTCAAGTACCACAGATACCCCCCCCCCCAAAAAAAAATCCCACCCATGTCCCTGATGAAAGTTATACCCGGGGTCTGAGGGAAATCCACCCTATCCACCCTGCAGATCACATCAGGGCCCGGGAATTTTTTTTTTTTTTCTTTTCTATGGCCAGGTGGGGCAGGGAAGTGGTGGATGTGTGAGGTGGGGTAGATATAAAACTGGGTGAGGAGGTGGGAGGGAACATAGGAAGGGATGAATGGAAAATAATTCAATAAAAATAACAAGCTAATACGAAAAAGGAAAATAAAAACTGAAATAAAAACAATAACAACAAAATAAAGTTAAAGAAAGAAAAAGTAAACAAATGAAAAAAGTACGCACAAATACAAAGGAATACTAAGAAACTGAAATAAAAACAAAATAAAAGTAAAACACTTAACAGTTTGTAGCTAGGTAGACTTGGGCTAAAGCAAAAACGTAACACAACCAAGGGTCTTGTGTCTCCTTGTAAAGGAACGCTACCTCATTTCTAGGAGAGTACCTAATACAGCAGATGGATTAGTTTACTTCACTAGAATGGACCTGCCCAACACATTTGCATGAGTGTACTCTATTCACCAATATATCTCTCCATCAAATCACTTAGTGGGGATTCAACTGCAAAAAGACTCATTAATTCGCCCGACGAATTTTTTTCGTTGGGGTTTTTGACAAATATTGGATCGTTTCTTGGCCTCTGGCTGAGATTCGATCAAGGCTTCGACTAGCTTGGACTGGCTCCGGCCGGGACTTGCTAGGACAAGTCATGACCAGCTTTGACTAGGCTCTGACCAGCTTGGACAAGCTATGACCAATTTTGACCAGTGGCCTTTGAGTGGAAACACTCGGGTCTCCCACGTTAAACGACCTTGTCACATCTTGACTTAGTGGGAGTCAAGTAAATACCATTCAACTGCAAAAAGACTCATTAGCTAACCAATATTCTACAATAATGAAGTCACAATTACTAATGCTGCCAAATTCACAAAGCCACAATTCTCTTGGTTGTTTGACATTTCTCTACTGTTGCCTGCAGAAACATGTGCACTAAAATTGGACTCCCGACTCCTAAAAAATGAAAACCTTCCAAAATGCTCAAACTGCCAAGATATACTCACTTCATGAAATTGCTACAAAAAAAAAAAAAATGCATAGCATGATAAAATCTCTTGGGAACATCCTCAATATTAAGTGGCCAGAAGTCATCTCAAACAACCAACTGTGGGACAGGACCAGACAAACTCCAATTGACATCTAGTGTCACTAGTCAAAATTTAAGGAGAAAAGTGAAATAATTTACATTTACGTGAACAAATTATTTACCCCGTTATTTTTAACGAAAACTTTCAGCGGTCTAATTTTTTTTTTTTTTTTTTTTTTTTTTGTACTTAGCTTTCACCTTTACGTTTATGATGCTTTATGGGAAATATATTGTAAAGAAATTAAAATAAAACTGTTAAGAGTGACATTAAATTTCATATTTCTTAAGAAAGGTATCTAATTAATTTATAGGTACCTTTCTTATGAAATTTTATCAGAATTGTACATAAAATACTATAATTTTATGTACATTTATTACATTCTACTGTTATTTGTATTTGCATTCATTTTATTAATTTTGATATTTCATTTATGGAAAAATGTCCTAACTGAGATTAATATAAAAATAAGATCATATAAATTTCATAAGATGATACTGATACTTGTAGGTAACCTTCTCAGTTGAAATTGAAAAATCAAATTAACTTCTCCACACGTGTTTCAAAAAGTAAAGGCCTTAACAGCGGAGAACAATGCTTAACTCAAATAACGCAAACTTAATTATATTCTGGTTGGTCTTCCGTATTTTATCATTACAGCTCAATTATAAGCACAAAATTACATTTCTTAATTACTGGGGTTCTTCTATATAGTCAAAATGATACAATTTACAACGCGCTAAAAAAAGATCTATCTCATAAGGACACTTATGAAAGCCTGTGCGGCTTTTAACTAATTTTATAATATTTTAACAACTTAAATGTAAAATCTATTATAATTAATGAAATAACAAATAATTGTGTTAAAAATTCATTTTTCATCGGAAAAATTTTTTTTGCTTTCAGAAAATATTGTCCATATTCATAAAAACAACTAAAAGCAAATAAAAGCATTTGAAATTAAATAATATATTTGTTTTATTGAGTTTTGTATGTTACAATTCAGAGCTGATTTTCAGGCACTGGGTTTCCAATTAAAAACAAAAAAACATGATTTGCATTCCTCAAAGCCCTGTGCTTTTAATTATTGTAATCACTAAAACCGATGCGATCAATTTCTAGCGTTTTTCATAAAATTAGTTAGGGGGGGGGTAATAAATATTTTTAAAAATATTTCTACCATGACTTTCATAAAAAAACATTTATAATAATTTCGATCATCTGTGAATAGTTCCTGAAAGTTTCATTAACATCCGATAATTATTTCTATTTTTGAACGATTTTTCAAATTAATGTGTGTCATACCAAAAAAACGTGCTAAAAATTGTCTGTTATTTACTAGTTCCGCTGATACAAATAGAAACAAGTTTTTTTTAATCAAAATTTAGAATTTTCTAAAAAGAAGGAAAATTTTTTTAAAATAATTAAAAAAAACTTTGGTCTTTCCTCTAAATAATAACATAAGCATTTAGACAATAAAATTTTGTTTTCGGCAAGGTTGGCGTCTTTTTCATCAAGCTATGCTCTTTTTTTAGCGATTTCGTGGAGGTACCTATGCAAACACCTAGTATGTACAAATAGAATTTAAAATTGTTCTTGTGTCTATAAAAATGGTTTATTTCAAATATATGTATGACTCAGGAAGTGTGAAAACATCACATGGTTTTTCTGATGTTAATCGATTTATTGGTGGTGGATTGACCACTGAATGTGGCCATTAATATCTATGTAATAGCAGACAACAATTTTCATTGTTTTGTTTTTTTTTTTTTGTTTGTTTGTTTTTTTTCACCCCCTTAAGTGATGACAACCCTTAAAACACGTGATCTTTTAAATTTTCTGATTTTCTTCAAATAAATTTTGAAAAAGATATAATTGATTTTTGCAAGATTTTTAGATGGAGAATTTGACTTCTATTTATAAATGCCTAAAAATAGCTGAAACATTGATTTTTTTTTTTTTTTTTTTTTTTTTTTTTTTTAGTAATTTTGCTGACTCAAAAAAAATAATTAAAATTTCAGACATGCTAGGAGGATTAAAAATTTTCAAAAAATAATCAAAAGAATTCTTTGGTCCTTCCTCTTAATATTAACATTTAGACAATAAAAAAATTTTTTAATCAATTTTAAGGCCGTTCTTATCATGCTATGCTTTTTTTTATTGATTTCATGAAGATACCTACCTATATGAAAATACTTCTACAATGTACCCAACTGTAGGGCCCTCTTTGAGAACGTTGAACCCAAAGCCATTCTAGAATTCTTAAGTGACAAAACTCTGCCCCAAGATATAAAAAGTAAACTAAATAAACACTCGGCTACAAAATGCAACTAAACCAAATTGCATCCCCACCCTTATATAATAACTTATAAAAGAATTTATCTTCAAAATGCACGCAAGATAAAAACAAAATGTGAAACTACCCAATTCAGCATAAAATGACCTATGGGGCTTGTGTGCCAGTAAAATAACCTAATTTAAATCCACACTAATCCAAAAAAGTCCTTCACCAGCAAGCATCTTTAGTTCTGCAAAGAAAATCTCAGCAAATCCACTTGGATGCAGACACCGAATTATAAACTGCTCATAGGCAATGAAGGAGTCCATCAAGAAAGCCGTTTACAGAGCCTGCATTATTTGTGTTGCAGACCTGTGTACACGTTGAGAGATAAACACATCTCCTGAAATGCCCACAACCAACATGGCAGACTCAGGATATGAGTCCATGTAAACAAATTGAAAAGAAACAAGAAGGACTTGTATATATAATGCATTAACAGTAAAGGGTTACATAAACAATAGAATATTGTTGCATGTTACTGAACATGAATGAAGAAATCATTTAAGCTGGTGAATTATTTGTGTATGTGTAGTTTGTGTAGGAGAAAATCCTAGAAACATTGAAGTAAAAGGTGTGTATGTAGGTGTGCGTTTGCATGCACACATTCTTCCACAATGAGATTTACATGTTCATATGTAAGCGGAAAAGTAAAATTTTATCGCAGAGTATTTATGGTGCTGAAGAGTATCCCCTAATAGCGGCTTTGAAAATTAGGAGGAGGTAACCCAACAATTTATTTGACATCAAATTTTCATTTCTTACTTGCTGATGTTAAACAGCAAAGGCCTCCCAAATTAGGCACAATAGCTAGATTCATATGATCTCTTTTTTTTTTTTTTTTTTTTTTTTTTTTTTTTTTTTTTTTTGTACCCTGCACAGATCAGGCTGTATTTGTACAAAGGTGGATTGATCACTCATTGGAAACTTTTTTTATTCAATTTAAAAAGCAAATCTCAAGAAGAAAAAATAAATTTTGCATTTTTCCAGATTTTATCGTTAAATTATCCAAATGTTTGTTTTCTTTACAGCTGAAGTGAAACGTGTTGGGGATATTACATTTGGGTTGGCCACGCAGTGTGTTCAAGCCAAGAATGTCACCCGTACGTCAGCTCAAACCCTATCCAATTTGTGTTTAAAGATCAATGTCAAACTGGGTGGGATCAACAGTATTTTGCTTCCTAGCATTCGGTAAGTCTTGACTAACTTTGAGCTTAGAATTAAATGTATGCATCTACTGAGGTGAAAGGAATCCTGTAAAACATCTGTATATTGGATCAGCAAACAAAACTGTTTAATTTTGTTGATATTTTAATGTCAATTTATAAAGGGGTGCTGAAAAATTTTTGGTACAAACTTTCAGCACCCTTCTGAACAAAATGTGAATAAACTTAATGATATTAACAAAGGAATAATTATTTAGATTTTTATTACTAAAATGTTATTTTTAGTGGATACTCGTATTTCAGCAGATGCTCTGTTTATTTATTAAGCAGCATATTAGGTTTTTATTATGTTAACATTATTTGTAATGGATACTTGTATTTGAATAATGCTTTCTTCAAGTGTGCTGGAGTGACTATTGCTGACATCAATTTGTATTTTATCTAAAGAAATAGAAAATGTTGACATACTTTGTCTAGAGAAATGGACATTTTTGACACCTTTTGTATTTTGGCTGGAAAAAAATGTTAGAATAGATATGCAATGAATGCAACATAAAACTACTGTTGAGAAAATTGTCACTGTAAAAATTTGGTATGGTGTGCTGAACTGAATAAGAATCTGCATTTAAAAATACTTTATAACTTGTGATGTCAAATCTTTTGTGCTCCTACGACAAAAAACTGTATAAATATAGTGATAGACTGGCCATAATGGCAAACTACTAGTCAGAAGACTCCCATGGGAATGGAATTCTGATAGTGATGGATTGCCTTTATTTAAGTTTTGATATAAGAGCAAAAAAAGCATGATGACACAGAGATAGCTGCAAGAATTAGATAGGTAAATATGCCTCACTACATCCATATTTTTTTAATAAGGTCAGCCAGAATATGGCAATAAGATTTTGGCCACCCAGTTGGCATGTTTCCTTTTGACTTCCTCTTGCTTTCTCCTAGAAACAATGCTATGATGGCTACTTTCCCTCATGAAAGAAAGCAAAATAAAAAAAAAAAAAGAAAATTGTCTGTCATCAATGCAGTCTGTTGGGTTCTGAAGAATTGAAGTCAGCAACAATCCAAAATGCAACTTAATTGTACTCAAATTATGCAAGCAATTTATACACACCTAATGAGAAATTTAATTAAATATTAATTAATATGAGAAATTAAGTTTCTCATATTAATTAAATATTTATTAATGCAAAACTTGAGAAAGAATTAAAATGGAAAAAAATCCCTATTTTGTAATGGTTATTTTCTAAGAGTAGCTTAGATGTGGCACAAGACTGAAAGTTTGGAGCACCCAGTAATGATTGAACTCACTATTCAGTTGTAACGGATCTAGGGAGACAAGCTTGCTAACCATTACACCACGCCGTTGTGCCCTTCCCTATTTTGTAATGTGTGCAAACAGTATTTAAGAAAAAAAAAAAAGACCTGGCTTCACCTTGTCTTTGTTTCTTACATATTCTTTAATGAAATTGTGATGGATTTGAATTTCATTCTTGACGTCTGCTTTCCTTGTTTTCATCAAATTAACCATGTGGCATTGCTCAACAATAATTATAAATAATGAAATGAGAATATATGCTTTTTTTTTTTTTTTAACTGGATTAGTTACTTTGATCTACTATGCAAACCATAGACAACTGGAATGAATTTAATGATGAGATCATAAGAGATTTAGGAGAGATGTTTGAGACATTTTTTTTTATTGCTCAACATAACAACACAGTGACCATTAAAGAGTAAGAAGACTTGTAAAAGAGTTAACAATATATTGATCTTTAGTAGGAAAGACATTGTTGAAGAAATTCTTGGGCTGTGGCAACAAGAAAATATTTACGCAATTTACATTTTGGGAAGAAATCGTAACATAATAAATTGGTGGCATAAAGCTAAACACCAACCAGTCTTTTACAAAATTAATCAAACTGCATTTCTTTGTCAAGTTAGATTTACAAATTAACTTGAATCATTAAAACATTGAGACAATAAATTATATATATAAAAAAAAAATGCAAATGATGACATGGGTCAGCAGGATTAGGGGTGCCTGTTGTTTTATAAAAAAAAAAATTGTTAGACATGGAAGAAACCTTTTTTCATTCATAATCATTTCACCCCAAGGTGATAATGGCACTAAGACACAAAGTGTTACTAATAGTGAAAGAGAATGAATAAGACTAGTGAGGAGAAAGTATTAAACAAGATTTAGGAAGACATAAGATGGCAATTGTTGCATTTAAATTTTTCAAAATCATAAGTGTAAGAGAGTTCCACAGGTGAGAAGTGTTAGTAAAGAAACTATTAGAATAAAACTTATATTGATTACATCGAGCTAGTTCAACAGTAAAATGATAATAACTAGTTTCCAATTTTGTAGATTGCTTAAATTCTTCTGGTACCAAGGAAGTGAATTCTCCAGAACAGAGCCATTGCTCAGCAAATTTCTCATAAGCCATAAGTGCAGTTTTTATCTGGTTGAAATCCTCTTTCATATCCTCCCTCAACTGCTGGTAGACAACAAACTCTCTATCCTTAGCCTTAAAGGGACTGCATGTTCTGGATGTTTAACCTGGCACATCTTACAGACCAGCTCAGCCTCCTCAATCCATTCAACCACAGATGATCCAGATGCAGAGCCGTCAAACTCTGGAATAAGTTTGAGGTCAAAGTCCATCATTTTTGCCAAAATTGCTTGGGTCAGTTTCACACAAGCTATCTCTTTCCACCTGACAATGTCTCTCCATACAAGCAACTCCACGTTCACGAGAAAACTGCCTATTCTTTCCCATGCCATGTTTTTTTTTTGTTTTTTTTTTTGCATACTCAACCACTCTCGCCAATTTTCCTAGCTCTGAGACCGTGTCTTTCTTAAATCAAGGTGTCAGGGTGGCCATATTTCTTTTTCCTTCACTAATTTTGCATGTCAGGCATATATGTACTCATTTTGATACACAAGGTAAATCATCTTCTCTTCTGCAATTATTATGATTAATATTACTAATGGGGCTTCTGTTTATTTATATATTGGTTGTTATTATGATTAATATTTCTACTGGAGTCTCTGTTTATTTGTTCTTTGACTTCAGTTATCATCTTTGAAACTTTGAAAGTCTCTTCTTTTTTCAAAGTTCATTAATCTTGATTTACCAGCACAGATTTATAAGATGAAAGCCTCAGACAACATTTCCTTTGTTATAATCCTTAAGCTAAACCATACATGAACATGTCATTGATGATAATTTAGCAAAATTTCTTCTTTATTTGCTGTTATTATGAAACCTGTCTTTTTTTTTCTTCTAGACCTGCTGTCTTTCGTGAACCTGTTATTTTTATTGGTGCTGACGTCACCCATCCACCAGCTGGAGACAGTAGCAAACCTTCCATAGCTGCTGTAAGTTTCCCTTTTTTTTTTTTATTTCTGTCTCTAAACTTTTTAAAATGGCTTAATTCTAGTCATCGCTTTTTTATGTTTAAACAAATGCAATAAAGATAAAGTAAAAAAAAAGAAAAAAGCAGGATTGCTACCCAAATACACAAAAAATGGATTTGTGTATTTTTTGGTCTTTCAGATAAAGCCTCTGTATGAGATTTGCTTTAAAAAATTTATAGATTTATAATTTTAAAGAAGTTTCTTAAACTTTTTTTCCAAAAACTCTTAAACCAAATTAAAATATTTTGTATTAATTGTACCAAATTAAAATATTTTGTACTAATATTAAAATGAAAAAATAATTCACAAATTTCTCTGAGTGAACAATTATTATAAAATTCTTGTAAAAATTGATGTATGGTAATAACAACTCAGAGGTGTGATAAAACTTAGTTTTATTGAGCTTGAATTGGGAAGCACAGCTAGACCACTTATTTATAGGATCTAAGTAAGGAAGAGTTCTTCTATCAAGTGAGACAATTGTCATCAAAACAGGTAACTCCTGTTGGTCTATACCACATGTATGTAAACTTATGTGATGCTTACCTGAGCTTTCCAACAACTGGCCAATCATTTCCCCCTCATTACAACACTCAAAAGCTGGGAAAGGTCCTGCTACATGCTCACAAAGCAACAAAATGGAAGGCAAATGTCACATTGAGGAATAAGAATGCAAACTCCCATGTTGTATGTAGATGTTTTATTCAGGTTTTCTCCTGGGTAGGTAGGGGATACTTGAGACAACTTTTGCTATGTCAGCTCTTTTCCCTACTGACTCCTCAACTGTCTACACATTCCGATGTATGGCTGGCAATACAACTGGATAGCATAGGAACCATGTGATGGATGAGTCCATCTCCCACTAAGGGCAGCTTAGAACTTTCCCTGATCCTGTTACCCATTAGTGTTCATAGGTATGATATGTATCTTCCAATCCTCATAAACACTTTGGACACTATTGTAAGTGGGGGTAATATGCTGTTTAAGTAGTCCCCCACTAGCAGTGGTTTACCTACTACACGCCGCTGGCGAGTATTGTGTTTTGTTGATGCTATAAAGATTACCATTTCATTTCCAACCTCCATTTTGGTTATTCCTCATTCAGTAACCTTTTCTAGGTTACAACACTTATGAAAGTCATGATTTTAATCTTAGCTATCATTCTGAAGAGTAAGCGTTCTCAAAGCAAATTTGTGGCTTTCACAACACAAAGAAAGAGAATCACTTGTAACACGTCAGGAAAATAACTCACGAACGCCGTAGCCAAAACTGCCCGAATTTTTCCTTTCGAGTCGACAACACCAACTGCTTTTATCGGCAGAACCTATTTTTTCCATTCGTCGACAGCCGGGATAGGATGCTCCGTAATTTGCATATTAATACACTCTTATAGCGACTCCTGCGATTTAACTTGTTTCTTTTTCGCTTGGTTTGACGAGGTAAGTCGCTATAAGAGTTTTGCTGACTACTTTTCTTTTTGGCAATCCTTCCCCGGCAGATCGCACACAAAACACGAACTTTTTTCCGGGGTACTTGATTATCTCGTTCACTACACATTCAATACTAAAAAAATAGGTGATGTTGTTCACATAGCTTCATCTTTATAACAGTAATCATTTCTAACAATAATTTTGTATCTGGAAGATTTCAAGATAGTGACCAGGAAAGTCAATTCTAATAAGTTGAACATTGGATACTATCAGAAATGAAATATCCATTGCCAATTCACAGTATGTGGTAGGGAAAATAGTTTATTTGCATTCAAGATTTGTCAAACATTTTAACATTTTAGTCTTTCTCTCTTTCTCTCAACCCCTCCCCCACACATAAGAGCAAGAACGAGAGAAATCAGAAGATTTGATAAAGATGAAATTTTAATACCTATGAAAACTAATGGCTATGTCCCAATCCTCATAAACACATTATGTTATGTAGGAAAGGTAAACATTACTAGTGTCTTTGTTGGTGGTATATCATTAAGTTTTAAATCGGTTCATCACAACTTGGTGGTTGACTTTGATTTACAAAACCTTACCTTCTGAATTAGACTTATCAGTTTGTGTTGAAAGTCTAAAGCTATACTGTTGTTATTACTTAGATGCAGGGCCGGATTTAGATGAAGAGAAGCCCTAGGCTTTTCCACTTGTGAGGCCCCCTCCAAATACCACATTCTCGCAAGTAGAGGAAAATGGAAGTGTTAAATTAAACAATTTGAGTAAAGCCGAGGATGATGACAGGTGTTTAAAATTACTGAAGTGTTATTTAGAGTCTACAATGTGTTATAACTGTGTTGAAAATTATTATACATTTTGGCTGAAGGCCCCCCCCCCCCATATTTTGATGGTCTAGGCTTCAGCCTGCTAAGCCTATAAGTCTGTCACTGTTATGTTAACACTGGTCATTCTTAAAAAAAAAAAAAAAAAAAACAATTTTGTGCATGATGTGTTTCTATGCTCTCATATATAATCTGAGACAATTATCAGAAAATCAGCTTTTAAACATGATTTAAGGGTAAGTATAATATTTTGGTCAATATGTCAGGAATCAATTTCTGCACAAAACTGACTTTCAGAAAATAATTTACCTTATTGGATATTTGTTCCATAGCATGAAAAAGTCTTACATTTGTCTATAATGTGCTAAAGTCTTATATTCTGCATCTTGAAAAACTAAAAATATTCTTTCTTTTTTTTTTTTTTTTTTTTTTTTTTTTTCTGCACTTTTATTCAATTTGCTTTTGCTTTGTTTCTACTTTAGGTGGTCGGAAGTATGGATGGACACCCTAGTCGATACTCTGCTTCTGTACGTGTTCAAGAACATCGGAAAGAAATTATTCAAGATCTGTCATTTATGGTGAAGGATCTTCTCATGGAATTCTACAAGTCTACTCTTTTCAAACCAGCTCGTATTATTTTCTACAGGAACGGTGTCAGTGAAGGACAATTTCAGCAAGTAAGAACTGTAGGTTATGATTGCTGTCACTACACATTTGGTATTTGAAATAATTTTTGTCTTTGTTGTTTCACATGGAAATTGGACTGGCAAGTGCTATTTTTTCTTGCTAACATCCTCTTCTTTTTTTTTTTTTTTTTTTTTTTTTTTACAAAAGTTCCTATTGGCCAATCTCTGATCAAATTCTTTGGCTCTTTTGTAGCTGTCAATGATTAAAGCAATCTCATTTTATACTGATATCAACCTTGCTGGCTGATTTGACCCCACACTGTGCCCTGGTAACATTATACTCAGGATGGTTGGCACAAGGATAGTGTAACATTCTTCTGCTGACTTTAAATTCTAGAAAATTTCATGAAATTTAGTTGGGGTTAACGGATGTAAAAAAAAATATATATTTTTTCTAAAAGTTAATAATTTAAAAAATAAATTCATTCATTTGTGAATAGGTCCTGAAAGTTTCATTAAAATCCAAGAATTGATTTTTGCATGAATTTCCAAATTAATGTGTTATTTTACTGGAAAACAGGCGGGAAATGTCCATTATCAGCTCTGTTACACTTAAAAACAAGATTTTTAACACAAATCTGTTGGTTTGTGGTATACAGATATTTGAATCCATTCTCTATCAGGACATCCAGGAAGGCCAGCTGATTATTATTTTCTTTCTTTGTAAAGGAAGGTCTTACTGAGTTCACAAGTGTCATCTATGTATCTCAGCTATAATGTCAGCTTCAGTGGTGCTGTTCTTAAAGTCATTTCCTCAAATTATTCTATGTATATGTTTGTCATCATTGATAACAATGGTGAACCAATAGCCAAGATTTCCTCCTGTTAGTATATATCAGATTAACTGGAAGAATGTTGTCTGTACACAGAACATCAATATTTCCATCAGATTAACTGTTGGAATGCTAGTACATTCTCCAAGGGATGGGCTTGATTCCAGTCACTTTTGAACCACAGATAGAAAACTCTGGTGAAAAAGCTTACCATTCAATTGCTATGGATGGGAATTCCTCGGAGCAATTCCATAAAGTGTGCTGAGTTTTTAATATATGATGAGGATTTCCCTGTTAGTGGGTTGACTATATCCACCAGGATGTCAAATCCCTGCAGCTGATTATAATTCAACAGAATACCAACTTTGTGAATCTTGGGGAAATCATAGAGATGTAGCAGCTTCCTAAAGTTGAGTCACCTGTCTATATTTATTCAATATGTCAGATCTGTGTTAGCTTCCTCTCACTTTTTAGGTTCATATTCTTTTTCATTTTTCTATAGCTGCCATCCTCAATTAGGCTTGCCAATTTCTCAGAGTATTCTGCAACATTGCCTCTGTCAGCTGGCAGTATGATGATACTGTTGTCACTCAGTAAGGCCTTTTGATTGCCAACCCTTTCTTCTCTTGTCATGTTCGATTTGGGCAGCTTGGCCTTTTCTAGTACTTGTCTCACTTTACATTCTTATTGGAATTTTATGAGGATTTTTTTTTTTCGACTGATTTAATTATCAAATTTTATAGCAGTTATAAGGCTTTTTAATTTTTTTTTCCATTTGAAAGTAATTTTATAAATATCTGTATGTACCCAACAACAGCAAATATGAACTGATATGCCAAGTCATGAGTAAATTCACCTCTGACCTGATCAAATGCAGCAACTCGATGTTTCAATTCTCTAAGCAGTCAAGTCCTCTGTAGAGATGGTAAGCGATATAAATTTGATGGCTCTATATTGGGAGTGAGCTCAGGAAGAAAGATTTATTCTCCCATTTGTATCATTATTATATCCATGATATAATATCACATCATTTCAACATTACTAAGACAGACACAGACAGACAGAGACACACACATATATATATATATAATATTCGAATCTCACCATGGTTGATTTGTCAAGAAGGAGACTTTCTGATGTTTTCGGACTGGATCAACGTCAATCCAGTGTACGGCACCTTTTTGAAAACCATACCACAGGTTGACACGAGCCTTGTGAATGAAATTGAGTAGACGGACTCTTGGGGGCTGTTAATAGCTATGCTATCACAAAGCTACAAGTCATTGTGACCGAGGGCTTGAGTGTGCTGGCCTTGTCAAAATTGTTGATCACACTCTCTCCCAGAAACTAACTAAGTTCTGCTCACCATAGTTGTTGTATAAACCACAGGTAGGCACTGTGGATGTTGAGCAAACACAAAAATGTGCCTGAGCGAGCATCTGCAATATGGATTGGCTAGCCAACATAGTAGTGTGAATGGCCAGGTATTATTTTATATATAATGTGTCCCATGCAGAGAATAATATATCACATATATCTAAACACCAAAGCAAAGTGTAAAGAGAAACAAAAAGGAACAGTCTTACATATATATGGAGATACTCGGGTATCTGGAGAAGCCATGTTTAGGACTCTTCAGGCCAGATTCATCTATGTTCCAGGAGAAGATATATTCTACAAAAGGGAAACAATAAGCTTTTGGTTTTCCCAAATTGAGGATAGCAAGCTGGAGTTTCTTTCTATATCTAGGAAAAATATATTCCCAAAGTGATATGCCACCATGGACTTGTAAGATTGTGGGTAGGCAGATTTTAGCCTCTGCCCAGGCTAATTAAAGCAACCTTTCACTTTGGCTGCTGTAAAATGTACTGAATTTGACTACCCCTTTAGTCACAGTATGAAGTGATGTCAAAGGACTGTCATATAACTCATTTCCACCAAAGGGAGATAAGCACCTTCAGTTTCCCTATAGCTTCATATCTGTAAGTGCTAGAATATTGTGTATGAATATAACCCTCCACCACATCCCACAAATGCTTGATTAAGATCATATCATAGTGGCTACATTAGAAATTATCAGAATACTCCTCCAACCAATTTTAGACAAAATGGACAGAATGTCATTGTATATTGGCCGATTTTAACATTGTGATATTTTTGCATTATATCAAGTATTAAGAATATAGTAACTAGGGTCTGCAAATTGGAGGAGAGAGTTATCAATGACAATGTTCAGACTTCGAATTCACAGTTATCTCCCTTTAACCTTCTCTCTGGACCCTTTTTTGCCATAGTGCCGCTTGCGTCTTTTTACTGGGACTACCCTTTGGTGAGATGCAAGCAAATTTTCATTCTGAAAATGCAACCCAGAGAAAAAAGTTTGGAAACCACTGTTTTAATCTATTTGATTTCCTTTCTTATTTGTGGACTAGAGATGGTTATTTGGAGATCTTACATCTCAATTTTAGTGTCTGGATTCTAAGCCAATCAAGTGGAGACATTGTATGTCACAGTATTCTTTACACATTGTGCTGTAATTTTATCACTGTGACATTTGTTCCATTTTTCTTATTTTTCCTGTATTTGGATTCATATGAATGAAAAAAAAGAGTCATATTTATTCATAATGTCCTGAAGGTATGAAAAGAAATATTAACATTATTACCCACTATATGTATGCGTTAATCAAATATGGAAGACACAAAGTGTAATTTTTAGAATTATTATTTATCCTTATTGAGTTTATTTCCGACTGGTGGAAAGCTTCTGATTCCTTAATTGCATTTAAAATTGATGCCTCATGAATGACTCAATTGATTCTATGTATTCAACCAAAATATCAATTTTTTTTTTTTTCTCTGCTCGATATCGCAGGTTTTGAGTTACGAGCTTCGTGCCATTCGGCAGGCTTGTATAAATCTTGACGTTGGCTATCAGCCTGGAATTACATTTATTGTTGTACAGAAACGACACCACACCCGGTTGTTTTGTTCTGACCCGCGTGACCAGGTGAGTTCTGTTTAATCTACTGTCTTTCTGGCTTCTTTTTTTTTTTTTTTTTTTTTGACAAGTGAGTGATTCTGCCAGGTTTTAAAATTGAAATCTTCAATTTTATTTTATTTTTTTCCCTTTCTTCCCAATTAATGTCACATTTTGATTTTTTGTTTTTCGTTATTGTTGTTTTATACAAGGGTGTGCTGAACAATTCTTGGGCCAAACAAGTGATTTCAAAATAAATTATGTTGTTTGGTCATTTGGTAGAACTTTTGGGGAATAGGTTGAATTGAGAACTTTTCAATACTCCCTTGTGTGTGTGTGTGTGTGTGTAGAGAGAGATATATATATATATATATCGGTTAATTTATAATATTAATGCTCTGTAAATTTACATTGAGCACTATTTTGTAAAAATAAAAATATCTATAAGAACACCGGATTATATATCTTACTGTTCTTTCTTTTTATTTATATATACATATATATAAAAAGGCTCAAACACTAATATTCCATGATTATAATTTATTACATTGGAATCGTAATCATGATCCAATTCATCAGATCTACAAATTCAAAAGAAATCGGAAAATATAACTCCAGCTCTCTCTCTATATATATATATATATATATAATGTGTGTGTGTATATTAAGCAAAAAGATTAAATCATTACAAAAACTAATGCTTAGTCATGATTTTTTTTTTTTTCTCTACTACTGAAAGTATTTAATGTCAGAAATGTTTAAAAGTAATCATAGGAGTTGATGGAGTAGCAGGGAAGTCAGTGGGCAGCAATGGGGAAAAGCAAAAAACCTTAATATGACTGAAAAGTTCACGCAATGGATCATGCAAAAAGATTATTTACCTATTAACATCTGCTTTCCACCATTCCTTTTGAGTCAACACAACAGTGTAGTATAATGCTGGGATAGATATTGCATGCAATTCATGCCAGGCATCAAGGATGTTGGTTGCACCAGAATTGAACTGGACTTCATCTCACCCACTGAATGGGGATGCATGTGACTTTACACCTGTTTTGCACAGATTTGTGATATAAACAATTATATAAACAACCACCCCAGAGAGGAGGAGGCAATCTTTCATACATAACAGACTGAGATTGTAAGGTCCATGTTTCAGAAGAGGGCTATGGGGGGGCATATTCACATACTGACCTAGAGTAATTAGCAAAGTCAGAAGTAGAATAAGATTGAAGAAGATTCAAGTTCCATGGTAACATTTAATCAGACCCCACCACCTTTAGATATCCATACTAAATGCTTCTCTGCTATACTGATGAAATAACTCAAACTTTTGAACTGTACCTTGAATACAAAGTTCAGATGCAATTTGTGCTGAAATTTAACCATCATTATTTTTTTCATCACCACTTTCAGCCATGTCCAAGATTTAATGTAATATATCTTACACAATACAAGTCCCAAGAGCCACTCAAGGTAGAGGGTTACTGTCTGGTGGTATGTAAGCATGAGAAAAAGCAAAAAGTGCGGTTCATGAGACCACCCATTCCCCCATGATATTTGAAAGTTCAGGGTCTGCTCAGTGATGATGGGAAGTTGCTAGTTAAGTTTTGGACGTATTGAATTTTGCATAATGATTGAAATAAGTTTTTTGAGAAACTCTTTTCATAAAATCTATGATATTACAGGTTAGATGATAAGTGAGTTACTGGCAAAATTGCTGGGATTATTTTCTTCTGGATCAGTATTTTTGCTATGGATCATTGTAGTATCTGTGCACTCTGTTGGAATAGTATTACTAATGGAAATTGCTAGTTTCTCCTCACCAGCAAATTGTTAGCTAGATTGGTGTCGTGTTTTCAGAAGAGACTTTTCTGGGAAACGTGGAGTAATTCGCCATGATTAAGTGTATTTGACAAACTTCTCAACAAGCAGAAGTTCTTGCGCAATAAGGAAAGGGAAAAAACAGAACAAGGCAAAATAATACTAAGCAAACAAAACACACACACACACATATATATATATATATATATATATATATATATATATATATATATATATATATATAATATAAAAAAAGTAAACAACAATAATAAGGCAAAAATTTAACAAATTAAGAATTGTGTTCACATGCAAAATGGATATAGTCAAGTGATTATAGCATTCTGATTTCAATACCAGAAAGACATAAAAAAGGGGGATGAAACCAAGAATTGTCCATTTTTATTGGTTAATGTGGTGGACAATTACATAGAAGCAAGTGAGTCAGACTGGCTTGCATCTGGTACAAAGGAAAATAAGTTCCTTACCTCAATACATGACACGTAGCCGCGCCATTTTGTTCCTTGAAAATGGCATGAATCTCCCCACCCCACTTTAGATTATTCTAGAAGTGTATATTCTGTAATGGTGGCTTTTGTACAGCTTAGTGTGGTTCAACCAATAGCAATTCACATGCTGATAGGTTGGACTGGATGATGCTATTTGATTGGGTAACTGAGGGCAAAAGCAAAGAACACTAATTGGTCAGTTGACCAAGGTGTTAGTATGATAAAAAAAAGGGTTGAAGCAGCAAGAAGAGGAGTGATTTTTATGTTGGTGTGTGTGTGAGAAATCAAGAAGGTGGATTGAAAGATAAGTATTTAGTGTTGTACAAGCAATGTCAGAGAAACACAAGCTCATTTATACTAGTTAGTAAGAAATCCCAGCATGCATCTCTAGGAATTGTCTATAAATTTGGTGAGGAGATATTCTTGCCTATCATTTCTAGAGATTAGAACAACTGTGTGTTTCTGTAAAATTTGACCAAACATGTTTTTTTTGTTGTTTTTTTTTCACATATTGTAACATTAATGTCCATTTCCAGTTAATTCTCTTGAGAAGGTTTTACAATAAAAGACTTTCACCCTTTTGGATTTAAGGTGAATTGTCTTGGTGAAATAGGTTTTGTTGGATTGTTGTACATAATGAAGTAAATGTGGTTTCTGTTTTCATGTGTGTTAATATTTATGGAACTTGTTTTTTAAGTAAGACCAAACTTTTAATGATAGTGACATTTCTGACTTCTTTCTGTTGACCTTTACAAACAAATGTACCATTTTTATTTCAGATTGGTCGAAGTGGAAACATCCCAGCAGGAACAACTGTGGATCATGGCATTTGCCATCCAACAGAATTTGATTTCTTCTTATGCAGTCATGCTGGCATTCAGGTAATTGGCATCAAAACTGTCTCTTACTTTACTTTTACTTATATTCTATATACTATATATTTACTTATATTCTAAATGACTTTTTGTAGCAGTTTGAGATGGGGCACTTTTATTTTCTTTTTTTTTTAAGAAAATCAGCACTTCACTCAGTGTGAAATTTAGGTGTTGATGTGATAAGGACCGACACCAAAAATTTTTCAGCATTCAGTTTTAAAAATCATCTGGAAAAATGTAGAGAAATAACTCATTTTTACAGGTTTTTACTTACAAACTGACCTCAAAACTTTATCACAAATAATTCCAAATAAAGTTGATATTTTTTACCTTTAGGTATATTGAATGGAAAATATATTCAAATCGGAATCACCACAAGAAAAATATGCAATTTTTTTACTCTAGTTGATAAGTGTAAAAAGTGTAAAAGATTACAAAAAATGAATAAGATCTTACACCATTTGTTAGGTCATAATTAATAAAACCAAAATATAGATAAGTGTATATGACACCATAATACTGCTGAGCACAAATTATGACAAAATGTTTTAAATTTGCATTGTTCACTAAAAATCACACTAAAACTACTGTATAACATATCATAATATAGCTAAATTGTTTCTGTATAACTTCCCTTTGAAATAAATGAAGGTCCTATTTGATGATTTAGGAATAATGTGCTTGTACCTTGCTTCTTGTCCATATACAATTTGTAAAGCTTCAGTAGTTCATTTAATTGCTCTTTCTACACCTTGCAAGTGTGCAAAGTAAATTCGGCTGCTCCAGTATTGTTCCATTCATTAGAACCTCTTGCAGTACATTATTTGAAAATCTGCAAGCACAGGTTCACAGACTTGATTTTTAATTGATCAAATTTGATCAGTGTGTCATTTCAGTGTTGATGAATGTATTTTTTTTAATTTCTTTGGTAGCTTGCTACTTCTGAAACAAAAAACGTATTTTTGTGCTGTAAATTTTTTAATGCGACATTCTGTATTTTGGTCAACTGTTGATTTATTCTTTGGGTCATGTTGAAGGTATTCAGTTGTTGGTTATGGAATTTATTATCCTTTTTCATTTCAAACCAACTGCTTATATTTCAATTATAAACTTTATAAGGCTGTGCAATTTATCAAAGAGTTTTGATGGATAGGCATTTCTGGTCCATGAACATATTAAACTGACTGTTAGTCATTTGTCTTGATTTAGAGACCCAATTTTCCAAGTAGCAAATCTAGGGTTCACTTTCCCTTGAGAAATTCTTCCTGCATATTCTAAGAGCAGCCTCTGGTCACTTAAATCTTCCATTGCCCCTACAGTATGATATAAATTATCCAGGAGGGCCACTGGTAGTGTTAAATTCTGCCTGGGCTAAATCCTGGTAATTATTTCTGAAAAGTTTCCCTAGAAAACAAGTAAAAAAAGTAGGACTGCTTGTAGTTTCATCAATGTATTTACAAACAGCTTTAAATGGAAGTTGAAGTTGGACAGCCAATGGTATGCAACTTTAAATTTTTTTCTCCAGAGCCATAACAAACACTGCCTGACAACCGGTACTGGTATTGTCCACAAGAACTACCTTAAGGGAATTTATACTGTTAAATTCTTCTAAAACAACAGTGACATTTTCTGCTAGAACAACACCAGTTGCACCAATGTTAGGGATAACTCTGTGGGTGAGATATCTACTTTCCATGTCCATCGCTGTTGAAAGTCAAATGGCGCTCTGACATTTTTCTTTTCTTTTTCTTTTTTTTTCTTCTGCAATCTCTTTGTATTGCAAAGTGTCCTTATCACTTCTGCAACCAATTTGAATACATATAGCATTTTCATGGTTCTGAACATGTATTCTGGTGGGTGGATGCTAACTTTTACTCTTGCCTTTTTCCTGCCTATTTTTGACTGATTATTGATAATATCCTTTAATTTAAGGCTTGGATGAAGAAAGTCCATATCTTGTAGGTCTAATAAAAATACATTAGCAAGCTATGCCCCAAGATTGGAAGATACCTCACCCTTAATAAGTTTGATGGTGTATCTGGGGATTTTTAAAAGATTATATGATCCCTTAAACTGTCTCCCTGCTTAAAACTGTCATTGGTTTTTTCACTGGGAGATGTTGGAAAAATATCCAATGTAGAAGTAAAACATGTAGAATTCTGTTGTTGCTGTCATTTAATCTGCCTGCCTCATCACTGCTTCAGATGCACTTTTTTGATAGCATCTTTGTCAATAGTTTCAAGTTGGAAACTGCCTTTTGGTCCTTCTCTCTCTCAATATTCCTTTTCTTAATGGGAAGCTGAAATTTCAAAATGTGTACAAGTTTAAAAACAGATCTAGCATACATGATAAATATGAAGGTTATTTACCAGGGAAAGGAAGTTTATCAGGTAAATTTATATTTTTCAATTAATTTAAATTTTGAAAATCAGGACATGAACGAGTTCAGATTAAACAAAAAAAAAAAAAAAAAATAGCCTAGAATTAACCTTAACTTTGTTGCTTGGTCTTAATATAATCTGTCTCTGACTCATAGTGCTGATTCTCTGGTAATATTTTTTTCTCACCTCCTGAATTTTAACCATTGTGTATATATAAGATTTATACTCAATTGAATATTTTTTTTTTCTTTGTCCTTCCTCTCCCTTGTTGTAATATATTTCTATGTTTTAGTATATTATATTTCTATATATTATATGAATATCAAATGTCCATTTTTTAAGCTATAAAAATTCAGGAAACATTAATATAATATATTTACTGAAAAAAAAACTGCCTGCATATGGTTAGAAAATGAATTTAGCAAATAACCCTGTCCTTAGAAGTGTTAAAGCTTTCTTCTTTTAAGGAACATTGTGATAAGCCTAAAGTGGGATATTTTGTTCTAAACACACCTGTTGCCACTATGGCTCTCATGGGTTATGCAGTTTTTGATCATGATCAGAAGTTATTTCAAGGCATTGTGGACATGCCCAAACTTTAACTTGCAAAATTTAGTTAAAAAATAAAACCTTCAACGGGATTCAGGATAAATTTTTCAAACTTCAAGTGCAAAAATAGTACTTTTGATGCTATCAAATACCATATGTCGTATCTGACCATATATGGTATTAATGTCATTGAGCACCACACAGATACTAACGTAATATTCTTTTGCAAGATGTGTATAAATTCCTGATAATTCTGTTACCAATGTGTTTTCCTTTCACAGGGGACCAGTCGACCGTCCCATTACCATGTACTCTGGGATGACAATCGTTTTAATGCTGATGAACTTCAAACCCTGACCTATCAACTGTGTCACACGTATGCTCGATGTACCCGAAGTGTTTCCATTCCAGCACCTGCATATTATGCGCACCTGGTGGCTTTCCGTGCACGATATCATTTAGTTGAAAAAGAACATGACAGGTAAGAAAGAAAAATTTAATTATTTTGCTACTTGTTCACCTGCTGACTTTGTAATTCCAACCTTTTTTATCCATTTACTTTTATTAGTGAAAAAGCACGAGAAACTTTTATTGTTGATAGTTTTGTGTCATCAAAAATTGTCTTTTTTCATATGGATAGAACACTGTCAAATTAGCCGAAACATTGTCCATGCAACAAAAATTGCAAAAATAAGTACAATTCAACTCCAAGTTCTTTGGATGAAAATTTTTTTTTTTTTTTTTTTTTTTGTTAAGGTACATTTCTTCATATTTTCTTCTTTTATAAACAAGTTCTTTTCTTCAATAAATTCCTCCTCATTATTATTATAATTATTATTAAGAATTTTTCAAAATTACTATAATCAATGTGCATATAGCATAACCGTTTATGGCATGCAAAGGAGAAATGGCCGAGTTCAAATTCAAGCCTTTTCTGTTGTCACACATAAGTTATTAATCATTTAGAGGTAGAAAGGTTCATCTATTGTCATTTTCACATTCCTCCCCAGTCTTTTGAACAGGATTTGAGGTTTATCCCTTGTTTCCTGTTTAGGATTGGGTTTCTAGTTCGTTTTAAGATGTTTTTCATTCTCTTTTACTCTCTTGTATCTTAGATGAATTATTGCCTTGCTTGGGTTGAATTGGTTAAAAAAAAAATTCATTGTCAATTAATCTCATTCAGAGCCAGTGTTGAAATCAGCAAAATTGAGTTTGGTCAGTACCTAGATGAGTGAAAAAAAACCAGGTGGTGTAAGCTTGGATGTGTGGGTGGTAAGGCTTGGACACATCATGTTGAAACACCGGTTCTTGTACAATCACCAAAGTTAAGCAACTCCAAGCCTGGTCAGTCCCTAGATGGGTGATCATTTGGGAAGACCACGTACTGTAAGCTTGGATGTGCAGCTGTTATAATGGATAATGGCTGAGAATTGTAACTCGGAGAGTCAAGTTTCAATTCAAGTTGGGTTTATTATATTCATTTATGCATAAGTAACTTTAGGGAAAGGTATGAATACACCTCTTTTCCCCCCCAGCTAGGGGTTAATTAGTAAGAATGTATCACTAAATCATTATCTCCAAAAAAGAAAAATTCTTACAATCTAAAAATATTTTCTGGATTTAAATAATCCTTCAGAGGGTTGAAAATCCATAAAAAAAAAAATAATTAAAAAAATCACTTTCTTCAATTAGTATCTTTCAGAATCGTTTACCCAAGTGAACTTTCTTATCTCTACCCAGATCTTTATACTCTTGATCTTTTAGTCACTCCCCATCCAATATTTTATTCAATATTGAATATTCTCTCAATTTTTAATGAAATACAAGACAACCATTGTGTAAGAACTAATAAGGAAGAAATGAAGGTTCAAATAAGAACTATTTAGTCTTACTTGCTTGTCAACATTTCAATGTAACGGATTAAACTACAATGCACTCTGAAGCATTTAAGTGCCATATCTAGTTTGGTCAGCAAAGAAAAGAGCTAAATGATATTATCTATTGTTGTATTTGATGTTTCAATAATTTGCTTAATAATTTGCTTTAAATCTTGAGGGACATTTTGCTGATATTATTTATTAACCAGTTATTTAGGTTTCCAACAGTGAAACATTCCGATAAAAAGGCTGAAAATTCTGTTTCACTTAAATAGCATAAAATAAACTGTTATTTTATATTTTTAACCATCCTGGGTAAGATGATAAACTACAGCCAACAGCAAGGCCTCTGATCAGGAGGTTTTGAGGAGCATGGAACCACCTCTTAATTGCTGGTGTTCCCAGGTCCACCCTGACTCAGGGTGGTAGCACCAGTTAGGGTCCCAGCTATGGGCAAATAGTTAACCCCCCCCCTCCCCAAACTGGGGTCAAACACTATGAAAGTGTAAAAATAGATTTTAATACCAGAAATACTTTTTGTAAAAAAAAAAATTTGCCAGCAATACATTTTTGAAGAAAAAAATATTACCACCAACAAAAATTTTGTCAGCGTTAAATAAATCATTGAGGTTGATATGCTGTAAAACAAAACAAACCAAACCATTTATATTTTTAAATGATATTGCATCATAAATATCACCGGGACCAATGATACCCTGGCCATTGGGTATTTGGTGGTATCGAGTGATGTTCGAGAAAGTTTCTTAGTTGAGGTACACAGTAGAAACTCTGCAAGAAGCACTTGAACACTATATTCAGCCTTGTAGTACACAAGGACAGTCCCGTGTTTCAGCATTTATTTACTACATAGTCCACCATTACCCATCATAGTAATGTTTAATTGTAATATACATATATACCTTGGTCTTACTATTTTTACAGTTTATTTTACACCACTTAAGTGAAGGATTACCTTGGGAAGTGGGTCAAGCCCATAAGCTTTCAGCACCTATGATGCCTATGTATAGTTTGTTACTTGTTTTCGTTTCTCTTGGAGCACAAATCGACAAAAACTGATGCATCCTGGCTATGACAAAATAAATTACATGCAACAGCAAGGCCTCTGATCAGGAGTTTTAAGGTGTGTGGAGTCACCTCTTAATTGTTGGTGTTCCCAGGTCCACCCTGACTTGGGATCAAAATACTATGAAAGTTTAAAAATGTTTTAATACCAGCAATACATTTTTGTAAAATATTGTTATCAGTAATAAATTTTTGAAGAAAAAAAATTACCAGCAAAACATTATTACCAGTAATAAATTTTTGTAGAAAAAATATTAGCAGCAATACTTTTTTAAAAAAAATATATATATATATATATATATATATATATATATATATATATATATATATATATATATAATAAATTAATTGATTTAAAATATGGTTATTTTCGCTACACAGTTTCAACCATGTTTCAAAGAAACATGGTTGGAACTGTGTAGCGAAAAATAACCATATTTTAAATCAATTAATTTATAATATTAATGCTCTGTAAATTTACATTGAGCACTATTTTGTAAAATAAAAATATCTATAAGAACACCAGATTTTATATCTTACTGTTCTTTCTCTTTATTTATATATATATATATATATATATATATATATATATATATATATATATATATATATACCAGCAATAAAAATATTGTCGGCATTAAATAACCCATAAGTTGATATGGTGTAAAACAAAACAAACTAGACACTGACATTTGACCTGTAAATAATTTGTGTTGACTGATTTTTTTTTTTTTTTTTTTTTTTTTTTAATTTTAGGACAAAGGTTCAGCTTTATACACTTCAAATGTTTTCTTTTTTATTTTCTTAAAAAAAGCTTTAGATATGACACTCATGTTGTTTTTTTTTTTTTGTTTTTTTTTATTTCTTCAGTGGTGAAGGTAGCCATCAGTCAGGAAATCAAGAAGAACGTACATCAGCAGCAATGTCCACTGAAGTAACTGTCCACCCAGACACCATCAAAGTCATGTACTTTGCTTAAAAAAAAATCCATGACAGAAGCAAGAAAGCATCTAAAATAATTCCGACATATTCTTATATACAAAGATACACCTACAAAAGATGGTGTACTAGTCTGGTTTTTGCTAAACCATTGGTTTTTGCCACCCGTGTTTTGTGGTAAATTTGGGTGCCATTCACCTTGGACTTTGGTCAGTCTTTCAATCACTATGCTCTTGAGCACTTGATACATTCATGTACTTGTAAATTCTGCAATACCTGAAAAGATGTTAATATATTAAAACAAAATTGTTGGGCATATAAATACTCTATTTTGCTGTGTATCAGACCCACTCTTTCAAACAATCTCATTTGCAAAAAGAAAACCTCTACATAATACTGAGGACTTTTAAAATCACCTTCTGCCATCTCCACCGAATTTCTATTAAACATTCAAATAATATTTATCAGAAAATAGCCTGGAAATGGTGCGTCTTAAACACAGGAAAATATGGTTGGATACATTTACTTATGTTTAACAGTGGTGAGAGTTTTTTTTTTTTTTTTTTTGCTTTGTGATCATCTGCCTTGCGGTCTTTCACACAGGGTATCCTCTGCATTTGGATACTTCTATAATCTGCAACACTTGAAAAAGTGTAAATTGATACAAAAATCTATTATATACTTCCAAAATTTATTACAGAAATACACAAGAACCCATTTTAGGCAGCCATTGAATGAAACAAGTGTTCATAGGTTAGTGACATCAATCATCATGAAGGAAGGATTATACTAAGTTATGATTATTAAATCGATGTGCATAAATTATTTTATATAAAATTAGCAGAGTTATGCTAGTTATTATTTTTTATGTGTAAGAAAAAAAATTTAAATAATTAAAAATTTTAATTTTAATGATTGTGAAACCAAACTTGTATCAGTCTTACCGTTTCTTGTTTGGTACTTATTCAATGGTATCAGATATGATTTAAGGTATATGTCTTTGGTTATGTGATCTGTTGGCTACAGTGGGTTAAGAAGTTAATATACAGAAAAGCAAATTCTTTCCTGTTTTATTTGGATTTTTTACATAAAAGGAATGAATAATATTGTGTGTGTACAAATTCATCACCTCCATACAATTTACCATTTTCACAATTAATAACAGTTTTAATTTAGAAAAAATAAATTGACCTATTTAAATTAAGACACAAAATTAATTTATATATAAATATATTATATTCAGTTGTATAGATATGACTTTGTGACACTGAGTTTCATGCATTTGCGATCATCAAACTGGTTTATTTTTTTAAATTGGGTCTATTTATAGATATATACATATATGTATATGATTGAGATATATATATATATATATATATATAAAATCTCCATTTTTTTTTATTTGTTTAAAAATCTTGATTACAGGGTTGCATTCCTTTGAGAGGGGGTTCTTATATTACACAGAAATTTAGGAGACAAATTTATGGTGTTTTTGTATGGGTAAATATATTTTTAGTGTTTTGTTTTCTATGGAAACAAATGTTTAAAATATACCAAGTCCTATTTTTTACTTTATTTTATTTATTTTTAATCAACAGAAAAACAAATTTTTCACAAATAATGGGTATTGGAATAACAAAATTTGAGTGATGCATTTAGTTCTGAGAAAGGACTTCTTGAAATTCATAACAGTTTCTTGATGGGAAATGTTGGGTGGGAGTGGAAAGAAAATACAAGAAAATACCATTTACAGTTTACATTGATAATGTTAAAGATACAAAAATGCTCAGCTTTTAAATTCTGATTTTCAATGTATGTTTAACTTAGCCAATCTCATTCAGATTTTTATTGCTATTGTTTTGAATTATTCCATATTATGTTAACATTAATTTTGTGAGGAAAGTAGATTTTGTATAATCCTGGACATCAATTTACTATGGAAGATTCTGAAATTCATGCACTTTCAATATATTTTTGCCTTAATAAATAAATTAACTTTGTCTCTTAATCAAAAGTGCATTTCTTTACACTTAATATGATAAGTGACTAATTGAGCATATTATTTTGTAAAAGTTCCCTTTTATGTTCATATGATCTTTTGTTGCGCTTATGTGTTTCTTGAGATGTCTCTTGCAGTCTATTTTGTAAATTTCTGCTTCAGGTTTGATGTTGTCATTATTTTTTGTACTGATTAAATACATAATCATTTTTATAAGGAATTGTGGCAAACTATTAAGATTGGATAAATTCTTTTTAATTGTAATTGTTCTGGAGTTGCTTAGTAGTATTAAGTGTCTAGTTTTATTATTATCTTTTTCTTTTTTTTTTTTTTTTTTTTTTATACATCTTTGATTCCTTGGGGAAGATAGGGCCACAACAACACCCTCTCCAATGGACACAGTTCTGTGTGATCCGCTTTAGCTCAGCCCATGTCGTGCTGGCTGCCTTTACCTCTGCGTCAACACTTTTGCACCAAGTCTGTTTTGGTTGAC